TGCCCCGCCCCTGCCAGGCCCTGCCAGGCCCTGCCCCTACGCCCGACGGGGGAACTACAAATAACACACCGAGGACCCCAAAACTGAGCGGCGCTGTGCTGCACTGTGCTGTGCGAGAGATACGCGGCGCGTGGCCGCGCGTGGCGCTGTGGGGGGAAGGGGGATGGGTGGGAATTATTCATCTCGAGGTCGTAACGTGTCGCAGCAAAGAGCCACGTGCGCCAGCCCGAAGGAAAGGGGAGGGGTTGGAGACGCTTCCCGATGGACGCAGGACGCGCAGGACAGCAGGTCAGGACTCCGCGCCGCCTCGAACCCCTCCCTCCCTTCTCCTGTGGAACCTAGATAGCCACCTGAAAGTCGGCGAAAAGTCACGCTTTGCCCGGCAAGTTGGCAAAAAGCGCAACTTTGTGCCTCCCGCAGGTCGGCTGGATCCGCCTATGAATCGCGAGGCTTGCTGCTTGCTTGCTGGAGCGCCTGTGGAAGGCGGGATAGGCAAGCCGCTCCACGCGCGAGACTGCCGGGCTGGCCCGCCCCGCCGCCCACAGGGGCTCCCACCCCGTTGCGAAGTCTTCGAGCCGCCATCGTAGGTGCGTTGGTTCCCTGTCCTTGGCCAGGTCCTGGCCCGGGCTTGGGCTGGCCCAGCGCACGGCGTTTTGCAGTGCACCTGGAGCATGGAGGCACGGAGGCACGGAGGCTGCCCATTGCCCCAGCAGTGCGGTCGCTGCTGACCGCACAGTGCCACAGCCAGCCGGCCTCAGTCCACTGCGGCCGCGGGGGCCGCCCGTCCGTCTGTCCGTCCGTTTGGCAGTTCGGCAGTTCCCGACAGATGTGTCAGCCATTTTGCTTCGAGTCAATAGAACATTCGGGCATTCGGGCATTCGGGCGGGTTGCGGCCGCATTACGGACTACTGGCGGGGCAGGCCAGGACGGCCGGGACGTGGCGAGGCGGGGCCAGCTTCCGCTGCACGGCACGGCAGGGCAGGGAAGGGCAGGGCAGGGCAGAGCAGGCGCGCGGAGAGAGGGGGGTAAGTCGTGCACGCTGCTGGAAACAGGACGGTGGGGGGTGGCTTCCAGTGCCTCGTCCGAGTCGAGTAAGTTCTCCAATTCGACACCCTGCAAGTTTGGCGCGGGCGGGGCGGGGCGGGGCTTGCTCTATTAATTCCTGCCGCGTCGAAAGCATCCCGCCTAGTAATCAAGCGATGCTGGTGTCGCCCATAATAAAGCGAGGCGCATTGTCCCCGACGCGTGCCTCGCCAGCGGTTCGTCCGTCTCTCTCGCTCTCGCGGCCGCCCCGCGCCGTGCCCCGTCATCGTGTCGGTGCGAGAGAGGGAGAGAGAGACGGAGCAGAGGTCGTGTTGCGCCGACTGCTGGCCGTTATTGTAGCCGCTGAGTGAAAGCCGATACACTGTAGCCTCGTCTCGCCTCGTCTGGCTCGTCGGCCTCAATCGCCTCTTTGTGGCGGAGAGGCTGAGGCCGCCAAAGTTGCAGTTTAATCACCCCCCACTCCCCCGTCCCCCTCCCCCTCCCCCTCCCGCACGCCAGAGCGGCGCAATTGAAAATAATCAGGTTTCGGCTTGGGAGCCCCTGGAGAACGGGCGGCGAATCTCGTTAAGCCACAACCCCTTCCAGCCCTCCAGTCACTCCAGCACCTCCAGTCCCTCCAGCCCTCCAGTCCCTCCAGCCCTCCAGTCCCTCAGCCCTCCAGTCCCTCCAGCACCTCCAGTCCCTCCAGCCCTCCAGTCCCTCCAGCCCTCCAGTCCCTCAGCCCTCCAGTCCCTCCAGCACCTCCAGTCCCTCCAGTCCCTCCAGCACCTCCAGTCCCTCCAGCACCTCCAGTCCCTCCAGCCCTCCAGTCCCTCCAGCCCTCCAGTCCCTCCAGCCCTCCAGTCCCTCCAGCCCTCCAGTCCCTCCAGCCCTCCAGTCACTCCAGCACCTCCAGTCCCTCCAGCCCTCCAGTCCCTCCAGCACCTCCAGTCCCTCCAGCACCTCCAGCACCTCCAGTGCCTCCAACCCACCCTGCCCGTCCAGCTGTCAGGGGCTTTTGCCTTTCGCTCCGCAGCAGCTTTGCCGCTTCGCCGCGTTGCGTTATTTCTCATTATGTATTGACGACGCTCGGCGAGGATTCGCTTTTTCAAACGCCGACAAACAATGGACCTTCCCTTCCCTTCCCCTCCCACCCCTCCCCGCCGAACGCCCCTCGGGGAGCGCGACGCCGCGGACCGCCATCCGCCAGGAGGGGGAGGGAGGGGACCATTTTTGTTGACTCCCATTTTCAACGCCCGCATGGCCGCATCTGACAGTCCCGTGCCGGCCCTGCCCTGCCTTGCCGCCCCGCCTCCCCATGCGCACGGCGCACCTCGTCTGGTCAAGCAGGCAGGCAGCTAGACAGGCAGGCAGCTAGACAGGCAGGCAGACAGACAGACAGACAGACAGACAGACAGACAGACAGACAGACAGACAGACGGCAGCCACGAGGCCAAGCAAGGCCGCCAAGCCACCCACACTCCACGGGGGCCAGACCAGGCAGTGGAGTGGCAGGGCTAGAGCCGCGGAGGCAGCGCTCCGCCCCGCTCCGCCGTACGACGTGGAAACGTGGAACACAGGCCCATTTCACGGAGGCTGACGGAGGTCCACGAGGCCCCGAACCTCGCACAGAGAAATCAATAGGAGCAGGCATGGAGAGGCACAGGCCCAATGGCCCGCCGCTCCCTCTCGCTCGCACTGCTTGTCCGCGCATCTCTCGCTCTCACTCTCCCAGTCTCTCGTCTAACGAGCGGCCAATAGCTCTACCCTATAAAGCGGGGTGAGGCAAGGCGGGGTGGAGCGGGTGCCTGGCCGCCACGCCGCGTCGCCGCGCCGCAACAGGCGACGCGCAGCCACTCGCGCTGCCGCCAGCCTGCCGCGCTGCGAGAACTCCAAGTGCACGGCGACGCCACCACACTGCCATCCGTCGCATTCAATTGAGTGGGCCGGCCAACTTTTCCAGTGCATCCGCTTCACTTCCTGCATCGGCCGAAATATCTTTTTCTCGGGATCGAGTCCTCAAACTTGGCGGTGGCGGCGAGGGCGACGGCGAGGCAGTGTGCGGGCCCCCTCCCTTCCCCCTCCCCTTTCCCCGGTGAGGGAGATACCAGTGTGTGGCGCGCGGCCGCACGGCGGTGCAGGCAGCAGGGCCAACTTCCATTACGCCGTGCCTCCGTGCCGCCGTGGCGCCGTCGCCACGTTCTGCGGCAAACTTTCCACTCGGCCGCACTATTGCCGGCAGCACCCGGCCACAGCGGCCAGGGCACGGCCGGCCCGACTGCGCCAGGGACGCCAGAGACGCCAGGGACGCCAGGGACGCCAGGGACGCCAGGGACGCCAGGGACGCCAGGGCTGCCGCCCAGGTCCTCGCCCCACTTTCCACCGCAAAAGCAGGTTTTCTGCCAGCGTCAAGTCAAGGCGCACCGGGTTTTCGGAGTACCTTCTCACGGCGATCATTTTTTTGTCGGGTGCAATAAGAACAGTTTGAAACAAATTCATTTTAAAAATTTTTGGTGTGCACTCTACACCTAATCTTGGAGTTGTTTTCGCCCCGCCTCCCCTTCTGCCCGGCCGTGAAGGAGCCGCAGACCGATCTCGTGATTTCCGAAGTTTGTTGCCAGGCTTGGCCAGGCCCTGCTGGCCTCTGCCCGCCCGGGATGCCCTCGCGCGGGTCGAGCAGCGAGTGGGAGAGAGAGAGAGAGAGAGAGAGAGAGAGAGAGAGAGAGAGAGAGAGAGAGAGAGAGAGAGAGAGAGAGAGAGAGAGAGAGAGAGAGAGAGAGAGAGAGAGAGAGAGAGAGAGAGAGAGAGAGAGAGGGAGAGGATGACCCGGGCACAGCTGCTGTGGTCCGCCCAACTTACGCCGGTCCTCCAAAAAAGGAAGGAAGACAGGGCGCGGAGACGGGCGGACGGACGGGCGGGCGGCGTGGGGGTTGGGGGACTTTGATGTTCCGAGGCGGACCGAGACGGAGCGGGGCGGGGCGCGGCACGGTCACTGATTATGCGGCTTGAGCTCGAATCTTTGTTGTGGCTGCCTGCCTGCGCTCCGCGCCGAGGCTTCGGTCGTTCTTGCCATTCCCACCATTCCAGGAGGGAGAGTTCGCCCGAGAGCACCGCCGGGTCGGGCGCGGGGAAGAGGGGGCGGGCCACGAGAAGAGCGCGTAGTCCGGGACCGATGCTCTGATCCCCGCCCCTCAGACCTCGCGCACCCTGAGGCTGCAGGCCCAGGGATCGAGCTTGCTCCAAGAAGCCCCTGCAGACCGCGGGGTAGGCAGACCGCCGCACCGCGGCGCGCGCACGTTGCCTACCCTGCTGTCCGCAGGCGATTGCGATTGCGATTAATGGCTGCACCAAAAATGATCGTCTGCCTTTCGGGCCCGGCCCGCCATGTACGAGACGGCACCAGACCAAACGCCGCGCCATGCCACTAGTTCGGCATTCAGCAGCACTGGCAGCACTGGCAACAGGCATCAACCGGGACGGCATTGGGGGGAACCGAGCGGAAACTTTGTTGGCTCAGAGAGCAGCAGTGCGGGGCGGAGCCGGGCGGGGCGGGGCGCGCAGGAGGGGCCCTTTACAACGCGATATGCAAACGAGGTTACGTGTTGCGTACGCGCTTACCCGATCCGAGGGCGGGGCGGGGCGAGGTGCCGTGGGGCGGGTTGGGGCGGGGCAGGGTGGGGTGCCAACTGGCGGGCCACGTGCTTGATGCCTCATGGCGATAATTAGAGCAGCCGGCAATCCGAAGGCACTGGAGCTCGGTCTGGCCGACCCCGCCCCGCCCCGCCCCGCCCCGCTGCGAGTCGAGTAGCGAATCAATGAGGCCTGGGAAGGGACGTCGAAGGGCTCAGCGGCACGCCGCCGACCCGACCTGCGCAGCTACTCGCCTTTTGTCTGTCTCAGCACGAAAAGCGCCACCACGCGGCTTCCTTGCGTCGGCTGCCTCCACTGTAGGCTCATCGCGGTGCCGTGTGTTGCAGGCTACTACGCGGACCAGCTGTCCATGGGGCAGGAGCTGCGCGGCAACCTGACGGTGCAGTTCAAGAACGAGAGCCGCGGCTTCCACCTCAACAACCTGTCGTACGCCGGCCCCATCATCATGGGCTTCGGAGGTGAGTCTAACCAGCCGCCCACTCTCCGCGTTGGCGGACGCATTCCTGCGAGCAGACAATAATACCAGGTGGACCAGGAACCTCGAGACAAAATGAGAGGTACGTAGTCCCGCGAGACACTGCTCCTCCCAGGCCGGAGGGGAATGGTGCGGGCGTGTTGGGCGAGACTGCATTGTCTCGGGGTTCCTGCTAGGGTTCCTAGCCCACCTTGTACTTAAAAATTGATTTCTAAATTATTTGCTTTTTAAAATATTTGCCCAGAGATGAGCTATTGCTAAGTATGGTTGCTTTCAGAAATGCGTCTGCTAATGAGAAATAGTTGATAACGGGCTGAGAGTGTCGCCACCGCAGCCAGCCGCAGCCAGCCGCCTGTGTCCGGGGTGTTTATTTAGCCGCTCCGGCCGCTGGGCCTCGCGACGCGCGCGACTAGAACGAAGCCAAGAGCGCATTCCAATTATAAACTTTGTACCCCCGCGCTGTGCGGGCGTGGCGGGGTGGGGTGGCGGGGCGGGGCGTGGCGTGGTGGCGGGGCGCGGCGCGGCGGGCGCGCGGCGTCCGGATGAGACATGACAGTGTGTAATCGGCGCTGTCAGCGCCCGGTGCGCGCTGCGCGTACCGGTTGAGCGCGGCCCGTCGCCGCCCTTCCTTCATCGACGCGGCCCGGCTGGCGTTGACAAGTCACTGATTTGAATCTGGCGCGTGCGCGGCGCGCGGCGCAAACGCCGAAGGAAGCAGTGAGAAAGCGATGAGCGACGTGCCCCGAATTTATGCACTCTAAAAGTCTTATTATGGAATTCCCCCCAAAACGCGAGGGAAGGCGCGAGAAATACGCACGTCGCTTTTCGTCGTATTGCCGAAGGTTTCTCATTGCATCTTACAACGGAAATTAAGGAAAGGAATTATGGAGAATTGGCTTGAGCCAGTGACACGAAGTTCCAGTTTCGTTGGAATCCATTCGGCCCGTTATCGTCGCGGCCGGAATGATCGCGCGATATTGAAATGGGGAAAGATTTATACCGCTAGAGGAGGGAAAGAAAACATAAAAAGTAATAAAAAAAGAGGCGATCGGGAGATTGTTTGGGAATTGGATTGGGCCACGGGGCCAGGGGGCAGAAAGGGGGCGGAGTAGCCCTCGCGCCCAGTCGGACCATGTGTGCAGTGCGCACAGTGTGGTGGAGCAATGGTGCGAGAGAGACGACCACGGCCTGCGACACTGCCCGTCAAGGCTCACTCCCCGCCCGCCACTGCCGTCCTTCTGCCTCGCACTCCCGCACCTACGCCCCTCAAAAAACGCTCGCATGCAAGCTCAGTGCCCATTTATTATTTGGTTTTCGGTTCGTGGAACAGAGGCAAATCTTTTAAAACATGGCGCAAATGGGAATTAACCAGCAGAAAGCACGGAATAAAAAGGCGGGAAAAGGCATTTGTAGCGCGGTGCCATCGCCAACCCTTTCGGCCGCTGGCGCTAACGCGGGGCGGTGCGGGGCGGGGCGGGGCGGGGCGGGGCGGGGCGGGGCCTCGGCCTATCTGATGCGGCGGACGGGCGTCCGCGGCGGTCCGCGGCAGATAGCGAAGGGAGAGCGGCAGACTCATTCCGCCGCTGTCTCTCTCGCGCGTACACGCGACGCCGCGCGAGAGCGAGAGAGACCGAGCACGACTCTCGGATCGAGTCCGCAGGCAGAGCAGGCAGAGCAGGCGAAGCAACGCGTGCTCTTCGGGTTAACTGGAGTGGCAACCACGAACACCGGGCGGGGCTCGAGCAGGGCGAGGCACAGAGCTACCCACGTTTCGGGCTTTCGGGGCTTTCAGAAAAACTGATGAGCCAGTTTCCACTGCAGTGGCTGCGCCGGGCTGCGCCGGCCACAAAGAGGCAGGTTGATGCGCGCAAAGCGGCGCAAAGCGTTGACGGCACGTTCGCTGGAACACAGTGTGGAGCAAGGCCGAGCAAGGCCGTTACGGCCAGGATTTTTCGAAGCGGGTTTACCCGTGTGGAAGCAGGCCAGTGTGGGGGACTGCGGGCTGGGCTAACACGGGGGCAACGCAGGGGCAACGCAGGGGCGCACGTGGCAGCGATAGGGACCGCGCAAGGGGCCGCAGGGGAGGCGAGGCGGGCCGCGCGGGGCTGTTCGTTGACAATACTCGGCCACTCCATGGTGGATCCCCCCCTCCCCTCCCGCCTCTCGATTCGGACCCCGCTGGAGGACATGCACACATCACGAGGGTGCTTGCGTAAGTCCTCGCAGGGCAATGCCCGCCGCCCCACCGCCGCGTCGCGAGAGCGCAAAGTTTTTCTCCAACTTACAGTAAAAAATAGCTGTTATATGGTTGTGGCCTAAAATCAACAGGCTATAGTAATTATTTTCAGCATTATTGAAAAAATATCATACCAGAGAGCTGAGAGTGCTTGGCCTTGCTCCCGCTTGCTCCTGGCTGGCTGGCTGGCTGGCTGTGATTGCCCCTCTCGGTCAACAATCAGCGTCAATATCGGCTTAAGGGGCAGCGGGCCGCGGAGGCGGAGGCTGGTCTCTGCAGCGTACTCGGCTCGGCTTCCTTTTGTCGTCCCCGCGGCCCGAGCAGCCCGAACGGCCCGCGCCTCCAGGGAGCCTCTCCAGGGAGCCTCTCCAGGGAGCCTCTCCAGGGAGTCTCTCCAGGGACCTCCCCGCCGAGGGCATGCCAAGCATTTCCATGATATTGGTCTCTCCTTGCCTCGCAGAGCTCGCAGCCCCCGTGGGGATGAATGGGTATGGAGAGGGATGAACGGGTGCGGTACGCCGCGATCCGGGGACCGTCTCTCGAACGTCTCTCGAACGTGTCTCGAACGTCTCTCGAACGTCTCTCGAACGTCTCTCGAACGCCTCTCGAACGCCTCTCGAACGCCTCTCGAACGCCTCTCGAACGCCTCTCGAACGCCTCTCGAACGCCTCTCGAACGCCTCTCAACGAGCTCTTGGTCCCCGGCCAGTGCATGGCAGTGCCCCTTCCCCCCTCGAGGCTGACATGCGCCTTCCAGCGCCTCGTCTCTGCCCGCCCTCGTTAGTCACAGTGCAGCAGCGCGGCGCCTGGCGATGCCTGGTCGATGCGGCTCCACAATTACGTGCGCTCAAATCGCTGCTGCCTTTTCGCCGCGCCGCACTCCTCTCCATTATTCCGATGCGGCACGGCAGGCTGCATCCGAGAGTCGCTTTCGTCGCTCTGTCCCCCTCGCACTCATGGGGCGTCCCGTATGGGTGCGAGAGAGACAGAGCGGCGCGGCACGCTCGTTTCGAGCAGTCCCCGTGAGCGCGAGAGAGACAGCGGCGAAAGCGCTGTTCGGAATCTCGAGGCCCCACCCACCCCCAGCGGCCCGGTTCGGGCTCGCCTTCGCGCTCGCGGCAGAAGAATTGTCTGAAAACGTGTGCGTGGTAATGCGAAACTGCGTGTCACCGCTCCACTACGTTTGGTCTCAGGTTGCCACTGGTCTGTTGCCCCTTTTCCCTCGGTGGTTCTGCAGCTGCAGATGGCGCGGCCCAGCGCGACGGGGTGCCGCTGTCTACCTCAGCGAGCCGCTGCCGCCGCGGCGCCACAGCTGCCTGTCTCGTTCTGCTCGCTCGCTATTCACGGTTCGGACGTGACCGTACTCCACAAATATTTGAGCACGACAGGCGGCGCCGCAGCCGCACCACACGCGAGCGAACCCACCCAGTCGGTCACAGCGACCCCCCCCCCCTCGCCGGGGGCACTCCGATACATTTTGGGACGAGCGAGCCGCGAGAAGAAAATGAAACTCAGTTGAAAAACAAGATGACACTACGCTCACGTGGATCCTCGTGCTTGCTTAAGGTACGCTGTCACGAGCGCGTGAATCGAATGTTTGAGACTTGCAGTATTCAGCGGCCGTTGGGCATAAGAGCGTAAGTTACATGGGAAACCCATTGAAAATAGGTTGTTCTGTCTGATGACCACTCAATTTCCGGACGGTAAATTGTGGGAGGACGCAGCTGCGATTCTCAATGACGTCGCATCTGGGCAGCTAACACTGCCTCGTTTCTGGCGATGCACCGCAGGCAACGGCCGACGCGACGGCAGCGACGGCAGTCAGGGCGCCGACTTGTATCGACCGATGCGACGCGACACACACACACGTTCCAGGATTGTGCAACAGCGCAATACTACGCCGCGGCCGGCGGGGGCCTTCCAACGTTTCCCCGCTTTCCCCGCTTTTCCCGCCCCGCCACGAGCAGCTTGGCTTCCAGGGCCTCCAGGGCCTCCAGCACCTCCAGGACCGCCATCAGGAACAGAAGCGCGCTGCCACTGCTGACACTAGCCCGCCTCGCCACCCCGCCGACAGGCACTCAGCCCCAGCCTTCACCTGGCCTGCCTGGCCTGCCTGGCCACTGTACGCGCTGCCTGCTCGCTGCTCGCCGTCAGGGCCGTCAGGGCCGTCAGGGCCCGAACGGCGATCTCGTTTGAAACGGCGTTTCATCGCGCTCTCTCTCGCACTCGTTGGAGCAGCCCGTAAAGTTCCGTGTCCCTTTAGGGGCTGCGCGACGAGTGCGAGAGAGATGGAGCGACGACAGGACCGTTTGGAATCGACCTGTCAGGCAGGCCGCTGCGCTGTGGCGGCTGTGGCGCTTCCGAGCCGGTGTGCGCCACACTGTTTGGCCGTGTCGGCTGTCAGCAGAGACCCGCTCAAAGGCCGCAAGGCCAGAAGGCCAGAAGGCCAAGCCGCCACTCCAATCCGCCGGCCGACGGGGTTCGCGATTCGCGAATGAGATTTCCCGAGTCCCGCTGCCCGCTTGGATGACAGCCGGCGCGGGGCGACCTCTCATCTTCAGACTGATTCCGAGAGCCGTTTTCGTCGCCGTGTCTCTCTCGCACTCGTGAGGCGTCCGGTGTGTTGGTGCGAGAGAGACTACAGCGGACTAAACCGAGTTTGCTGATGCGGCCAGCAGAGTCCTCTCATCCTCACACCGACGCTCGGAATAATTTTGGCTCGACACGTTCACTCGGCAGCAAATTTTGAGACAACTGACGGCGGGGGACGAGAACTCGGTTCTCGCTTTGGCCGGGACTGGACGCGCCGTCATTCGTGTGGTACCGGCCCAGCGGGGCCCAGCGGGGCCCAGCGGGAGGGGCGGCGGGGGCCAAGCCTGCGAGTCCCTTCGGTCCTCGCCCATCCGAGCGTGCTGGGGGATTGCGGGGCAGGGGGAGGGGCCGTGGAGTGCTGCGTGGGACACACAGCACCGATTCCGAGAGCGCCGGTTTTCGTCGCCGTGTCTCCCTTGCACCTGTGGGACGTGCTGTACGTATAGGCCAGGTGCGACAGAGACAGGGCGAGGAAAACGCCTCTCGGAATCAGTCTGAATAAAACCATAGGCGTGGCGCGGCTGATTCAAAACACGCGGAAAGCCGTCGTGGCCAGCGCGGTCCTTCGTAATGGTGTTTGCGTCCCGCAGGATTCATCGTGGTGGCGGCCTGCGTCATGACTTTCGAGGCCAGGGACTCGGCCGCCAAGGTGGTGCCCGCCAGGCCCAAGTACAGCACGGCGGTGCCCCCCGAGGGCGCGACGCCGGCCGCGCCGGAGCGCGTGGGCAGCACCAGGTCGCCCAGCGCAAGCAGGCGCACGTCCGCCCGGCGCTCGGCCGGCGTGCAGACCAGGGGCTCCCGGCGCCACCAAGGTAAGCCGTACAGTGCAGTGCGCGGCACTGACAGCGCCGCTCGCGGCGCAGGAGGCGTTTCTGGAGCCAAATGTACTTGCATCAATCGCATTTACTCAGATGTTCCCAGTACATTCACTGTCCGTACGTCAAGAAAGTCAAGAAACTCAAGAGACGGCTATTTTTGGTGTGAAGCTGGGAGTCTGGCCGGAAGACCCGTTTTGCCGCGTTGCCGCCGGCGCCGGAGAAGCGCTTTGCAAGTTTATCCGGCTCACTATACTTTGAAAGCCCGTCGAGCGGCCAACAAATTCACTTTGGCTGTGGCCAGCTCATATCGCGATTGAATCATGCTTTATTCATGGCCCAGCGACATAATTCCCCTTCTAAAAACATTTATGCCATTACGGTGTTGCAGGCAGCCAGCACGACCCGGAGCACAACCGGCGCGCGCTCACCGCCGCCTTTGTCCAATTCTCGCGGTGAGTGCGGCGCCGTGGCGGGGTGGCCGAGGGGTGGCCGGCTAATGACTTAATCATGGTGCTGTCTCCCTCGCTCCGTGGGCCGCGCCGCCGCGTTGGAGCGAGGGAGAGGGCTCCCGCTCGGAGGCCATGGATTGACTGCGCGCGTCGCTCTGTCTCTCTCGCACTACGCCCACAGCATGCGGACGCCCCACGAGTGCGAGGGACAGCGCGACGACCGCATACAGTAGTTGGGGAATGGCTCTGCTGAGTGCCGATGCACTGCTGATGCACTGCTGATGCACTGCTGACGCATGACCGCGCCACTTGTCGACAGCTCGCTGCACCACGCGGCCTGCACGCCCCTCGGGGGCGCGGTGCCGGGCCACTCCCCGGCGGGCAGCAGCGCGGGGGGGCCCACGGGGGTGGGCTCGCCGCCCATCAAGAGGAGCCCGTCGGCGCCCGACCTGGTGGGGGCCGCGGCCTCGGCCCGGAAGGCGGTGCAAGCTGCAGCCAGGTACGTCACCACTCGGTCACCACCTTAGTCCTCCAAGCGCCCTCTGACTGGCCCCCGACGATGCACGCTGGTTCTGCCTGGTTCTGCCCGCAGGGGATCGCGGGCCGCTAGCCGACGCGAAGGCCCGCCGGCAGCAGGCCGCGGCCGCGCCGGCCTCCGCCCCTACCCCGCGCTGCACCGCCAGGCCCTGTCCGTGGACTGCCAGGAGCTCCACGGCCTCGGCTCCATCTCGCCCACCGGGCTGGGCCTCGGCCTGTACCTCAACAGGCAGCACTCGGGTCAGTCTGCCACCTCCGGCCACAGCTCCAGGGGCAGCCGCGACTCCATGGAGATCGGGGCCAGCGCGTGCAGCGCCAGCGTGGCCAGCGTGGCCAGCGGCTCCAACCGCGGCAGCCAGGTGAGGGCCCGGCTTGCCCGCGAGGCACGGGCAGTCAAGTAAAGTATCCTGAATGCATGCCAGAATGGAGCACTGCAGCGATTCCTTGTCGCAGGCCTCCATGGTGATGGACCTCCACCTCCCGAACGACTGGCCGGTGACTCTGCAGGTGCGCGACCAGTCGCAGCCCGGCGCGTCGTCCAGGGGCGCGACGGTGCCGACGGGCCCCCCGCGCCGCTCGGACACGGCCCGCCGCCACATGCTGACTCGGCAGCGCCCCGTGCTGGAGGACGCCGACGGCAAAGGTAGGCAAGGCCGGGCAAGGCCGGGCAAGGACGGGCAAGGCCTCTCTCACTCCCCGCTTTCGGCCTCCGAGGACTCTCGGCTGTCATTGCCATTGTACACCTCAGGGAAGACCCCCGGAGGCAAGCACAACCCCCAGCGCTTCGCTGGTGACCGCGACGGCCAGTGGGCCAAGTGGTTCACGGAGACGACGGAGACGTGCTCGGCCCTCCCCGGTACGGCGGGGCGGCTGTCGGATCTCCCTCCCCACCACCGCGACATGGCTGCTGCATGGTTGCTGCATGGCTGCTGCATCCCCCATTCTGACAGTGCATCTCGTTTCCTCCGCCAGGCTCGGCACCGAGGCGGGCGCGCGGGGCCGGGTTGGGCACCGTCCGCAGCCTGGAGGACGCCGTGGAGCCCGCGCCGCTGTCCCCGGCCGGCACGCCCATGGGCACGCCCATGGCGGGGTCCCCTCGCGGAGGCTCCCCGAGGGGCTCCCCCAGGGCCGGGCTGCTGCTGGGCCCCGGGGCGAGCGGCGTGCTGGCGAGGATTTCCAGGCACGCGTCCGTTGAGGTGCAGACGCACTCTCCGCCGAGGTCGCCGCCGAAGTCACCCACGCAGTCGTCGCGCACCGCGGTGCGCCGCTCTGCCAGTCCAAGCTCCAGGTACGGCAGTGACGCTCTCCCCTCGGCCACTCGGTCTCCAGGACAATGCCAGGACGGTGCTCTCACACCACTCCACTTGCAGGCTGGGCGATGGACGCTGCGGCAGCCCGCGGCTCGTGCGCTACGCCGACGAGGACGCGTTGACGGCCGCGTCACTGGCGGCGTCCCCGTCCGCAGGACGTGCGCGCGCCGGCTCGGGCGGCGCGGCCTCCTTCCAGAAGGGCCGGCACCGCAAGCTGCGGGCGTGCCGCTCCACGGCCGAGGACTGCACCGGGATGGCCAGCGTGCCGTGCTGCGCGTGCCCGGCCGCGTGCGCCACCGCGTGTCCCGACTGCCTGCCGCACGGCCTGCAGGGCGCGCAGGGACACAGCCCCGGGGGCCGCGGCCGCCGGCAGTCGTCCAAGTCCAGCGCGTCCAGCCGCAGGCCCAGCCGCCAGAACAGCGCCACCCAGGAGCCGCAGCAGGCCGGCGCCAACGCCCACGCCAGCGCCCTCGGCGCGTCCAAGTCGCCTGCGTCCTCCAAGCCGCGGTCCACCGTCATCGACATGGCGCAGGTAAGCACGCCAAATCTCAAAATCTAGCCCTCTAACGGCGCGTCATTCTTACGTGGAAATGAGTTGGCCGCTTTGCTGTACAGGTGGAGGCCCAGCTGCGCAATCAGCAGGACGAGCTGCACCGCGCGCTGGAGGCGCACAAGCGGCGCCGGGAGGAGCGGCTGCAGCAGCTGATGCACCCACCGGCCGCGGATTCCTCCAGCATCGTGCCGCCGCCCCCGCCACCTGCAGCTCAAGTGGAGGCCGTCCCCGCCCCCGCTGGCACCGCCCCCGACGCCGCCACCGCCACAGCCGCAGGCGCTGCCACCCCCGGCGACACCCCCGGCGCCAGCCCCTCGGGCGCCACTACCTCTCCCCCGGCTGACTCGTGCACGGTTGACCTGGCCGATGCGGCCGATGTGGCCTATGTGGGCGATGTGGTCGATGTGGCCGACGCGGCCAATGTGGGCGATGTGGGTGATGTGGCCTTTGTGGGCGATGTGGGCGATGTGGCTGATGTGGCCGCAGCGTCGTAGGCTTTGTCCCCCCTCCCTCGAGGGGATACTGTTCCCTCCACCATGAGAGAAGGTGCCTCCACGAGTCCCCTGTTCCGCCCCGTTCCCTGTTCCATGTTCTCCGCTCCCCATTCCCTTTCTATTCGCGTTGAGCAGAAGCGATTTCACTTCTTCATTTCAAGGGAAGACTAACTTGCATTATCATTGTTACTATACTGTAATTATTATACGCTCAGCATACCCGCCATGTTCTGGTTTCGTTCGATAAACTTATTTATTTTTTATATTGGTCTATAGAGATTGAATGGTGAGTGCTGAAAAGCTGGTAACAACCATGAGAGAGGCTGACGAAGCCGATGCAGGTCCGAATTACCGATCCCCGCACCTTCCTTGCATTGAAGCTTAACGGTGTTAGGTCTAGGATAGGGGCTTTACGTGTGTTGTAGTGATTATGATGTACAGGGTACTGTTACTGTGTTTGCGTAATTTCTCGTTGTTAGAGGAAGAATATTAATCATTAAGTGTTTGAGGCACCGTGCCATATAGTCTATGTTGAATGTTGTAGATCCCAAATGATTATGTCTTGAAAAAAGTGTTTGTTCAAATGATGTTCAAAATAAAAGTTGTGTTTTTCGTCTAGCAATGTTATTTGGCCAAACACAGTGTACCTAGTTTACCTCTCACAAGAAAACATAAGTCACAGCAGAAGACCCACATTTGTGTCCATGGTTCTACAGACCATTCTACGCGTCGCTGACTGAAAAGTAAATAAGAAGGAGAGAAACACAACAGCCTCATTTCGCGTCCCTAGAACAAAGCCTAGACAGCATTATGCCTATGCCTGCACTGCAGCCTTCAGCCCAAACACCCAAACCGCCAGAATCCGAATCCCGATTCACGTTGAAAGTCCGCGCTGGTCCGCGCGGTCCGCGCGGGCCCCAGCCTGCGCCTTGCAGCAGACGGGTAACGTTCCACGGGCCGCCATTGCCACGTAATGTTGGAACCAAAACAGACGAGCGTCGAATTCCGAATGTGGCTGTCTGTCTGTTGAGGATGACGTGAGTTGGTATTTACTCCTACCCTCAATTATCCTTAATTGGTGGTAATTTGGGGTCTGATTGAATGTGTCAGTCGGTATCAGTTTCTCCACTATTTAGTACCAACACATCAACAAGTTGTGGTGAAAATATATTATAGGTTACCGGCTGCGTATAGATTTTTGATCGCCAGACTGCTCTTTACCCCTGGTCACTAATTTTCCACAAGTGCGACCCTAGCAGAAATCTTTGATGGATAAATTTCCCAACGCTATTTTCCTTTTTGGGTCTTTACATGTCTCCGAACTGCTAGTCTCCTCGCCTCTTATCATAATAGCCTGTTGTCAGATTTTCACCTGATTCCTAACCTCTTTTTATCGTCATGTCAAAAAAAAATTATGTATGTCATTGATCTATCTTCCTTTTAGTTAATAAAGTCAAGGCCTTTTCGTACCATCGATCTCACACCCGTCCTCATCATTCCCCTCTTCGCACTCACAGTTTTGGTGCCAGGGGCATAGAATATTTGTCAATAAGAATGTTTGATTTGTCAAGAAAGACTATTGCCAATTATGTTTCAAAACGGTGTGTTTGGTGTTGATCAGGAATATTCGCTTCCGTCAAACATTTCATTTAACGTCCCCCTCCCTAAATTTGCAGTGTAAAGCTAATCTTTGGTTTGACCTATTTGCCTAGACTTTGATATTTGACCTAGTCAAAACCCTGTTTTATTTGCCTTTACTTAAATGTTTTGGTAGACAGTTTAGAGTTATCCAACATTTTAAACCAGTCCCCTAAGAGTTATTAGGCTTTTATGTATGTTTAATCCATAAAATTGTTTTCTGCCTGGTAGGATATCCTGAAATTTTAATTTGATGGCCAACAACTACAGTGGCTCTGTGCCACAATTCCCACATGCTGGTAAATAACATTTATTTTCGTTTTCGTTTCCAACGTTGACTGTACGCAATCTTTTATATTAATTTAGATCCTATTCATTCAATTTTAAATCACTTGGTCTCTTGTGTATCAGGTGAACAGCCTCTCCTAGCAAAAATGCCTGCAGCCATGCCTATGCCTAATGGTGCACCACCTCACTGGGGCCAAGAAGTAGATTTTAAATCCAGTTTAACTAGTCAAAGTAAGTGTAAATTTGTTTTTGGTTGTTCCCTGTGTTTTCATTTACATATTCATTCTTTGGTTTTTATTCTCTAGCTGCGCCACCTGTGCATGCTACAACAAATGGCACAAGAAGCTCATCTCAACATAGTCATCAAGGTAGAACGTAAATTTTAGCTGCTGTTTACAATTAAATTTTACTTGTGACTCTATTTTGTGCCCACTCCTCCTCTCTCTTGTAAATGACACGACACAGTTGAACATACCTCATTTATCTGCTATTTGATTACAGGTAGTCTATCGTCCCACTCGTCTCGAGACTCATCTCCAGCTCCGTCCCGCATAGGAGTGGTCCATCCAAATGCGTGGTCCACCAGCAATTCGCATAACCACAGCAATCTAGTACCCAGTGACAATTCTTTGAGTATTCCTAACCGAGCTCAGCAACCGTCTCAACTTTCACCTTTGAGCAGTGGTGGTCCCACAGTAATGACCAACTCTGCATCCCAAGGACATGTACCTATTCCAAATTTGCAGTCATCTCCAGGACAAAGAATGCCCCCCATTGGCCAGGTGCCTCCAGGACCTCAACAAATGCCCTCAGGGTCCTTCCCACTCTCTCTGCAAAGGCCACTGGGCCCTGTGTCCAGTGCACCCTCGTCAACACTTGGACCGTCAGCACCTCAAGATTCTACATCACAAAATTCAACTGGGAATCTTCTAACCACGCCTGCTCCAAGTTCGCAAACACAAGCACAGCAACCTCAAGGAAATTTTGTTGCGGTGTCATCATCTGCAGGATTGCCTCCGCAGAATTCCTATGGAACTGTGGGACCTCAAGCATCACCACATCAATTAGGTTCACCTGGGCAGCAGCAACCCTCCCTGAATCAAGGACCACCAAGGCCCATGGGACAAGCTTTCCCTATGCAGGGGCCGTCGAGAGCTGCACCAACGACGCAGGCTTCCACAGCACTTGTACCTCCAATGCAAATGCCAACCAACACGGGTCCAATGCCTCCCGCACAAACTGCACCCGCTCATGGACCAATGCCTGGAAGACAGATGCCTCCAGGTGCAGGACAACCATTACCTCCCAGTTCTGCTGCTCAAAGCACGCCTCCAGTACCTGGTCAACAGATGCCACCAATGCCAGGACAACAGTCATATATGATGATGGGACCAAAGCCCTCAGCTCCTGGACAACAAATGCAGCCTGGATTTGGACAGACAATGCCGCTGGGTCCCGGCCAAAATATGCCTCCAAATCTCCAAATGCACCCGGGTTTCAATCAGCAAATGCCACCTGGACCTGGGCAACAGATGCAGACAGGCCGAGTGCCCCAAATGCCACCTATGTCAGCTGGACCTCCTGGACAAATGCCTCCAAGGCAGATGCCCCCAGGCCCAGGCCTATACCCTCAAAGACCGCCACAGGGACCACCACAAGGGCCTCCGCAAGGACCTCCGCAAGGACCTCCGCAAGGACCTCCGCAAGGACCTCCGCAAGGACCTCCGCAAGGACCTCCGCAAGGACCTCCGCAAGGACCTCCGCAAGGACCTCCGCAAGGACCTCCGCAAGGACCTCCGCAAGGACCTCCGCAAGGACCTCCGCAAGGACCTCCGCAAGGACCTCCACAAGGACCTCCGCAAGGGCTTCCCCTAATGCCTCCCCAAGGGCCTCCCCAAGGGCCCCCACAGGGCTTGCCCCAAGGGCCATCTCAAGTGCCTCCCTCTCAACTGCCACCAGGACCTTCAGGTCAGTGGCCCTCCGGGCCTGGAGGCCCCTCACGACCATTCTACCCAGTGCACCAAGGACTAGCTACATCACCTCTGGGACCGCAGCCTTACTCTGGACAACAGCCATCGGTCATGCCAATTCTCCCACAACCAATTCAATCTCTTTCTGGCCAGGTTCTCCAGAGACCTGTTCAGCCATTAGGCCAAGAAGGCCAGTATATACCAAAACAAATGGTGTCTGGTCCTTTAGCTCATGATTTAGGCCTACGGAGGTATCCACAGCAAGTAAGTGCTATCATTAGAAATCTCTCATCTATTTACCTGTATGACTCTTCTGAATTTTTAAAAAAAACCTTTTCAGCAGATGCATCCAGCTGGCCCCGATAGTCTATCAACACCTATGTCAAATTTAAGTGTAACCCAAGCTGGTTACAACAAACTTTGGGTATGTGTTGTTTCTAAAAAGAAAAATACAAAAACTAATTAAGTGCTCTACAAATTTCAGAATATTTTTGTTTTTGTTTTAGGGCCAAGAACATTATGACCTACTTCAGAGTCGAAACATTTTACCCCCTGAAAAAGTTGAAGCTCCAAAAATTAGACTAACAGCTGATTTCCAGAACAGTGTAAATTGCAGTCCTGATATCTTCCGATGTACTCTTACGAGGATTCCAGAAACGGATTCTCTTTTGAAGAAGTCAAGATTACCACTAGGTGTACTCATTCATCCATTCAGGGATCTTCATGTAAGCAGTCATTATTGAGTTGCTTTCTCTTCAGATGGAGGCTTTACTTTGTAATGAAATATTGTTGTAAAACCTACCATATTATTATTTGCTTCCAGAATTTGCCTGTTATTCAATGTAACCCTATTGTTCGATGTCGTATCTGCCGCACCTATATCAATCCCTTTGTATATTTTATGGACGAGAAACATTGGAAATGTAACCTCTGCTTTAGAGTCAATGAACGTAAGTTTGAGTTTTGTTTCCTTTTAACTTAAAAAGAATTAAATTTTAAATTTAACTGTATCTACTCTTTGTTGCAGTGCCAGACGAATTTCACTATGATCCAGCCACTAAAACCTATGGAGAGCCCATGAGAAGACCAGAAGTAAAATCAGCCACAATTGAATTTATAGCTCCTGCAGAATACATGGTAAAAAGTCATTCTCTTAAAAAAAAATTTAAAAAATATCAATTTTTTTTTTAAATTTCCTTTAAAACATTTCCCTTGGTTGCAGCTGAGGCCACCTCAACCTGCAGTGTATCTGTTCTTGTTGGATGTGTCCCGTCTCGCTGTGGAAAGTGGCTATCTGCAAGTAGTATGCGAAACACTTCTTACTGAACTCGAGCACCTCCCTGGTGATGGTCGCACCTCTGTGGGCTTCATCACGTTCGACTCTGCCGTTCATTTCTACAGTCTAGCTGAAGGATTGAGTGCTCCTCAGCAGATGGTTGTCATGGATATTGATGGTATTAACTTATTATGCATTGAATCAGTGTAGTAACCTCTTGATTTTCTACTTTTCCTGGCTCAATTATTCCTCTCCTCCCTCATCTTGTATGTTTAGATATCTTCTTGCCCTGTCCTGAAAATTTATTGGCTAATCTCGGTGAGAGAAAGGAACTCATTCAAAACTTGTTGCTGTTGTTGCCAACAAAATTTTCTGAACAGTATGACACTGGGAGTGCTCTTGGAGCAGCATTACAGGCGGCCTTCAAGCTCATGGTGAGATCTTTTTCATCCTTGCATGTTGCAAAAGAGGAGAAAGGAGGGGTCTCACTGATGATTATGATAATCATCATTTTCACATGATTTTCAGTAGGTACCCTTGTACATGTGTTGATGGTCTGTATTTTTTTTAAGAGTCCAACTGGAGGGAGAGTTACCGTATTCCAGTGCTGCTTACCCAACAAAGGACCTGGCACATTGAAGGCAAGAGAAGACCCTGCCAACAGGGCATCCAAAGATGTCCCGCATCTTAATCCTGCCACTGACTTCTACAAGCAGCTCGCTCTCGAGTTCTCTGGGCAGCAAACAGCTGTTGACCTATTTCTTCTCAACCAACAATATTCTGATCTTGCTACCATTTGTGAGTAAAATCTGGGGTTCATGTTTCATTTTACCCTCATAAAGTCTAATACTCTAATGAAATTAAAATTAAAAAAAATTATTTCCAGCTGGTGTCTCAAGATTTTCAGGTGGTTGCATATATCACTTCCCACTTTTCCAGTCTAGCAACATTCAGTTATGTGACAGTTTTGAAACTGCTTTCCGACGCTATCTTGAACGTAAGATTGGCTTTGAGGCTGTCATGAGGATAAGATGCAGCAGGTCAGTACTAGGGCCACTGATGAATTTATTAACCTTTTACAGCTGCTTCATGAGTTATTGTCATATAATTGTGGTTCTTTTTTTTTCAATTTTCAGAGGGCTGTCTATTCATACATTCCATGGAAACTTCTATGTTCGTTCAACGGATTTACTGTCGTTACCAAATATTAATCCAGATGCCGGCTTTGGAATGCAAGTTTCAATTGAAGAAAATCTATCTGATATGCAGAGTATATGTTTCCAAGCTGCATTGCTGTACACCTCTGGGAAAGGTCTGTGGAGATTACTCTTGAGATGGTTAATTGTATTTTTATCAACTACGGTATTAGTATAGTGTGTTGTCTATGTGTTGTCAATGTGTTGTCTAGGTGAAAGAAGAATTCGTGTCCACACCATGTGTTTGCCTACTGGTAATAGCTTACCTGATATCTTGCACAGTGCTGATCAACAATGCATTATTGGCCTCCTTGCCAAAATGGGTAAGTGTACACCTTGGCTTTGCTTTATTTATTTTTTCACAAAGATGTTATTTTTCATCAATTGTTTTATATTATTGCAGCGGTGGATAGATCTCAGCAATCGTCATTGTCAGATGCAAGGGATGCATTTATTAATGTGGCAATAGATGCATTGTCAGCCTACAAACTAACACAGTCGTCTGTGATGGGTGCTGGACTGCTAGCTCCTAGGAGTCTTAGATTATTACCTCTCTACATTGTTGCTTTGCTCAAAAATGTAAGGAAAATTTATTTACTAGTTAAAATGTAAAATGGAAAAGTATGGCTTAATACCACACTGTTACCTTCCCTGTCTCTCTGAAGGTGGCCTTCCGATCAGGCACAACTACAAGACTGGATGATCGTGTGTATGCCATGTGTCAAATGAAAACTTTACCTCTAACCCACCTCATTCAATTCATTTATCCGGATATGTACCCCGTGCATGCCCTAGACCAATATGTGAGTATCAAAACAAATAATTGTGGCTCAATAATTTGGTTTTTTGTCAGTCTGTATATTTTAATTTCACATCTCTATCTGTATAGGAGGAAGTGATGATTGAGGAAACAGCTTTAACAATCCCCCCCAGATTACATTTGTCAGCAGAGAAAGTCAGTTCCCAAGGGGCTTTTCTTTTGGATGCTGGAGATCAAATGCTACTGCTTGTTGGACGGGCAATACCTCCCATCTTCTGTGAAAATGTCCTTGGAGTTTCTTCCTTCAGTGCCATTCCTGAGGACATGGTAACAAGCTTACTCACAATTTTTATTCTAGAGTCCTGTTTTGTAAGCTTTCATTGTAAATGGGATCTATTTCTTTTATTTTCAGTTTGACCTACCAGAAATCGATTGTGAAGACTCGCGTAGATTACGCAACTTTGTGTCATATCTTCAATCAGAGAAACCTTACTGTGCCACTTTTCATGTAATTAGGTTAGTGTTAGTACTGTGTATGGTAGAACTGCTCTTTCATTTTGTTTTCACATTTACAAATGCATTTAAATTAATCTTTGTTTGTTTTTCTTTTTTTTTCAGGGAAGACAGTAAACAACGCTCTAAATTCTTTGAACGCCTAATTGAAGATCGCACCGACTCTTCTTTATCTTACTATGAATTCTTACAACACATAAAAAATCAGATCAAATAATGTGCCTTACTACCTACCATACTACATTTTCTTATTAAGTTCATATTGTGCTTGACTTGGGAACAGTTAAAGCACAAGCCTGATTTTGTGGTATTCTGTAATAATGCTTGAACTAAGAGTCTACTTGTTGTTAAAGTTTTGTCTTCTTTGTTGTAAAAGCCTTGAGGACATTTTTTGTTTGTCCATTCAATGGTTCAACATACAATGTACAGTAAAAGAAAGTTTCTAAAGTGCGTTGGCTTTCTGTCTATGGTGATATGGTGCTTTACTATTTTGTATTTTATTGTGTGAATTCTGTTCTTTCATTGATTTTTACCATATAGAATTGCAATTTGATTCTGTGACTTGTATGTAAGAGTGAGTGATGTTTATGAATCCCATGTATACTTGCATTATTGATTGAATGTTTCCATTTGTGATTGTTTGTTCATACTCGACTGTAACCTGTGTTGAGCTAAGTTCTCGTGATTTTTTTGTTTCATAAATGAAAGGCTGGAAAATGCTGTGGTGTGCATTTGTATGCTTTTCTAGAAAAATGAGGCATGTACCTGTTTTCTCGGTGTATGTTAGATAATGCATCTGTTGCGTCTTATTAGGTTATTGACTTTTTTCTTTCAGGCGATGTCATCTACCTCAAAATCCTTAGTGCCATCCTAAGGATGTTTGTGTTATACCAACTTGGCTGTTCTCTGTCTTACTCCATGTCCTTTATTTTAGACTTGGGAGAGAGAGAGAGAGAGAGAAGAGAAGAGCTAAGGGGAGAGGGAGAGTTCCTCGCAGGATGTTGCTCACAATGAAGCTTTTGCAGACTATAAATCGCAACATTGATACGGTACATGACCAATCCATTTATTCTTTCTTACCCTTTGTGTGTTGAGTTTCATGATATTGTAAGCCAAATGTCAGAAATAATATTTGCATGCAATGACGTATCCCTGTTCAACAATCAGAGCTGATATTTTATGACATCTGCTTTGTTAGAAATTTTCTACTTCCAATCACTGTAAAAAATTGTTCTATTAGTAAATTCTTTTGATGTCAGTTTTCCTCCCCATTCATCCACTTGTTATTTTTGTGTACATGTACAAAATGCTTTGAATAAATTTTACTGTAAATAATCAGCTTAAGTATAATGTTGAAGTTTAATTTGAGATAGCATTTTACTATACTTCTGCAGTGAATGGGGGTGCAAAATTGGCAAAAATGTGATATGATTTTGGTTGGATTTGCCTGTTAAAGCCTAACTAATCTGTATGTGCTAGTTATAAATTAACTGTCTGTTAGTCTGTTGAGGTGTTTTTTTGTTGTTGTTTTTTTTTCAGGTATATGCCTCTTTTTTCACTTGAGCATTTAGACTTATTGAAGATTCAAAGTGAATTGTTTGAAAATAAATAATAAATTTTATGTGGAATAGGAGGAAACAGATCACATTTGCTCTATGTTCACTGTGCATGTAAACTATTTTTAGTCAGACGTTGTGATTGACATCTATAATAATTATGTTAATAAATGCTTTTGAATTGTGTCTTACACTTTATGTATGTTACTGGAGTAGAATGATAACTGAGCAACTTTTGGGTATCAAATCTAGTTTAGGCATTTCACTCTCAGCCAAGCTGATGTACAGTAGCATTGTTTTCAATAATAAAATTAGTCACAGTATATTCTGCATTGTATTTTTGGCAACCGTTTACATTTTTCAGTTGTATGCATAAAGCAGCGATGTCCTACAAAACTCCAATTCAATAAAAAGGTTATAAAGTAATATAAATTACAAAGTGTAGGAACATTTTCCTCAGTTGACTGCTTGAATGCGGTACTATTACTGTAAGTTTAGACGACGAAGGAGCAAGCGGTGTCTCGGTTCGGTGGCTCAGTGGGCTGAGGTGTCGGTCGTGGTTAAAATGGGTTTAAATCCCGACTGGGTACGGCTTTTATATTCCGCCGCAGCGCTGCTTTTCTAACTGTGTCGGTTAGGGTCACATGTCAGAATCCTTCACTTGATACAGCCCCTAAACTATGCACGAAAAACTCCTCCCTCTAACAGCTACCCCAGCTACATGCCCCACTCTCTCAGTAATACTGTGAATTCAATTTTCTTTAGGGAGCGTAGTTATTTATCGTTGTTAGCAGTGACTGAGAAAGGATTATGAACTCCATGACTTTCAGAACATGCCTAAAAATCAAAGGTAAACTGACGAGAGAATGTTCAGACTAATCCAGGCGTCCAGAAGAAACAGAAACAACGCAGGTGAATCCCACGCAAGGGAAGACAACTGCCAACTTTGGCCGCCAGGGCCGCTAGGGGCACGGAACTGACGGTGAGCTCGGCAGCCAGCCGACTCCAATTTTGTATTTATAGTCACTGCAATTATCAGTCATAAGTTACATGACAGTTAGCTCATTGGGAAGCTAGCGGCCTACAAGGCTAGGGCCTACAATCGGCTCGCTTGTCGCTTGCAACAGGTCTATCTTGCATGGAAAACAAGCCTAACGCGTTAAGTAGTCCCCGGTCGTGCAAAGTAGTCCCCGGCGCAGCAGGCGGAGGCACACCAGTCCGTGTTTCGGTGATCTGGCTTCCCCAAGCGCCTCATTCGTATGCTGACGACGCTCCTTGCCACTCAGCCTATTCCGTAGCAGTTCTTAGAGTTGTGATTAACTCGTGTTGCTGTTCTGTTACTTGTCTTCCGTAGCAGTTCTTTGAGTTGTGATTGTCTCTAGTTGCTGTTCTGTTACTTGTTTTCCGTAGCAGTCTCTGAGTTTTAATTTTCTCGTGTAACTGTTTTGTTACGTGAGTTTCCCGTATCAGTCCCTTGAATTCTGATTTTGAATGCTGATTTTCTCGTTACTCTTGTGTTACTTGAGTTGTGTTCTCACCATGCCGCCTCAGCTTCGTCCTCGCCGCGGTAAGTTGCATTTTTATTTTGTTCAGTGTTTGTCGTTCCGTGCGTGTCTCGCCCCGTCGTGGTTTGTCAGCGATGGCCAGACTGTGGTGATGCCCCATTCGACGCAACTGTGTCGGCGTGCTGAGGACTTGACCGACCGTGTGGTCCCCGCGTCTGTCTGCGGTGCCCCGGGCTTGTCCTGGGCTTGTCCGAGGGCGCCTGGCCGAGGCAGTGAGACTTGTCAGTGACCGTTCGCGGCCGAGCCGGTGAACGCTTCCGCTGTGATTGGCCATTGTCCCGTCAAGCCGAGTTCCGCCCGGCATGAGACTTGCTGCCCTGACGTTGCTGTTTGAGCTATTTTGCTTTGGTTTCGATCGGCGCGCTTCCGCTGCGTCTCCGGGGCGGGTCCCACCGGGCCCCACGCGGCCCCACGCGGCTTGACCACGCGGCTTGACCACGCGGCTTGGCCACGCAAACGCAGCTGGGGGCCGACAACGTCTGGTTCGTCTCCGACGCGCAGCCAATGGGAAGCGCGTCTGTGGCTACTGCCAAATACTAGTGGGGTTAGCTCCAGTCGTTAAATCGGACTCGAACCGAACATGTGACCCCCACCTCTCCGAAAGAGGAATCTATCGGTGGGGTCACACCGCAGAGGTGGCCCCTCCCTCTCGCGAGCTTCACGCTTCGCCCCTTCGCCCCTTAGCTTGCTGCAAGCTTCGTGCCCTCCTGCTTGTGGCTGCCGCTCTCAGCCCCACATTGCGTTCGCCCCTTCGCTTGCTGCAAGCTTCGTGCCCTCCTGCTTGTGGCTCAGCATTGCGTCCGCCGTCTCGTCGTTACTCCTGCATCGGCCGGCCGAGGGAGCCGAGGGGTGTGCAACTCAGTGACCCCGGGCCGCCCTGGGCGTCGAAATCGCCCGGCGGGCAGACCTCGCGGTGGGGGCGGCCAAAACTCGAAACGTTTTTTGAGCTCCAGAGTCGCTAAATGGGACTCAAATTGGTCTCTCGAGAGCCAAGGCTTGTGCCGGGGCCGGCCGGGATGGGGCCTCGTTGGCTGCACCGCCTGCCCCGCGGGGCCCCGCTCGGCCACACCCTTCCCCGCCCGACGAGACTTGTGCATGTCAACGGGGCTCGTTGGCCGCTGGAGGTGAGGGGTCGAAGGGGTCAAGGATTTTGGCTAGGCCGAGCGAGGCGACGAGCCGGCACCGAGGCGGCTAGGTGTCTCTGTCGCACAGCGACTCCTAGACTGCCGTTGGGCGGGCGCGTCTACCCGGTAGCAAATGGTGGCTGCCTGTGCCTCGGCTTGACCTGCGGCTGGCTGGCTCGCTAGCAGACGGCAGTGTTCTCAAACGGACAGCCCGGCGCTCACCGCCCAGGCTGTGCGAGAGGAACGGACGATGATGGGCCGTCGGTCTCCCCTTCCGAATTTTGCGGGACACGTCCGAGGTTACGAGCTGGGTTCGGCTGCCTTCGGCTCGGCTGGGTTCGACTGCCTCTGTCACCGGCCGCCGCCGGCCTGTGGACCGGCGGTCAGGCGTGATCGGCGCCCGCGCGGCTCGACCGTCTGCCCACCGGGCGACTTCGGCGCCGGAGTTGCACACCTCTGGGTTAGACAAGCTCGAGCAGCTCGCTGCCTTGCCTGGCATCATCGCACCGGCCACCGCTCGCAGCGAGCCAGCGCGGTGCGAGCTCGGCTACGAAGCCAAGCCAGAGCCAAGCATCGTGCCGATCGGAGCGGGTTGTGCGGCCCGCTCCTCCGACGGTCCGGGCCGCCGACCCGGCCCATGCTCAGGGTGGCGGCGCGAGACGCGCTGGGATTGGTCCACAGGTCGGCTGGACATTCTTACCCAGTGGGTATCGCAATCTGAGCCGGGCGGGCCTGGGCGTAGCGAGCCGAGCCGAGTGCGGGTGCTGCCGGGCGGCGTTTACCCGCCGCTAAGCGCCGCCTGGTCTGTCTGCTCTCGTAGTGTTGCTGCGGTGGAGCCAGTGAGCCTAAAGTGGGAGAGGGTCGTCAACCGAGGAGGTGGGGGGCCGGGGCCGTCGCTGATTGGCTGCGTTCCGACGGACCGAGAACTGGCTTTCCATGTCTGTTAGGGCTTAGCCAATGAGCGTCGAGAACGGTTGACGACTCTCACAGTATCTAGGCTCTCTAGGTGGAGCCGAGTGTCGCGTCGTGGTCCCGCTCCCCATGTTACCCTCCGCGTGACGCCGGGCGTCAACTCCTTCACTAGTGCCCCAGTGTTGTCCCGGCCCCGGCCGTCTGTTCGAGGTCCGTGCAGTCTGTGGCGCTGCTATGTGCGGTCGGCAGGCCGGCGCCTCCCTTGACGTTCGGTAAGCCGCCGTAGACGCCGTCAACGTTGACACCTTAGGCTCTCGGCTGCTGCAGTAGTAGCTGCCGCAGAGGCCTAGCGCTACTCCACTTTTCTGATTTCGAGAACCCGTTCGTTGCGAGGCGCGAATTTGCCAGAAGACCGGGTAGCGGAGGCGGGCATAATTCTAGACGTGTTTTGATCTCCAGAGTCGCTATATGAGACTCGAACCAAGCGTCTTAACGTGCAGCAGCTTGTCTGCCTGATTCCGCGCAGTGCGGCCCTCGGCCGTCAGTACGGAGTAGTCACGGCGCGTCGCCTGTAGGTGCGAGAGAGAGCGAGCGACGAATAGGACTGCCCTCACTGAAACTGTTACTTATCGTTCGCGACCAGTTGACCTTCTTGCAGTAAATTGTATGGATGTGGGGTGGGGGGTATCCAAGCGTGATGACGCCGCTTGCCTCTGTTTCTGCTTATTAACGTTTTCTTTTCTGTTTGCAGGGGTCTTCGCCGCTTGGTCGCAAGACAGTTATACGACGTTCCGCCGTGGCAGGGCCTTTGAACTTCCTGGGACTCACGTGATTGACTTAAGTGCGACTCATAAAGGTAAGCAACTGTCTTTTACCTCGCGCCACAGCGTGCACGCGGGCTGTTCCTTGGTTACCCAGACTTTTTGTTGCAGCCATGTACCAGCTCATAGGGACGTGCGAAGCGTTGCCTGATGGGGAGGAAGGGGTGTGGGTGCCCGCTGCTAGCGTGGTCACTCTCCCATCCGAACCCAAAAAAGTTCGATGCAATTTTTGTGCTGTGGCCCTTAACAACTTGGCACACTACTCAATTCACGTTCGGCGTGGGTGCGAGCGGTTCGACCGAAACAAGTAAGTGACCTGTCTGGCCTTGTTGCTTCCTTTTTCCTGTTTTCCCCATTACTGTCCACTAATAGTGATGTCTGTTTCAGCGGCGACCAGGTTTCGATTTTCAATCGAAACGTTGAGACGTTCAAGTTTATGTTTGGCTGTAACTTATCGCCCTTGCCGTTGCCAGGCCAACAACAGGAAGAGCAGGAAGCTGCAGTTCTGCTTCAATATGATTTGTTACGTGGTGGGATGCCGCCCCCTGACAACGACGCTTTGTGAGTTTGAGTTCGGGCTTGCCTGTCTTGTCCCATGTTTCTAAGTGACTAGCGTCTTAATTTTCCCTTCTGCTTGCAGACGCCAGTTTGAGGACAGGATTGAGCGAGAAGCTACTGCAATGCTAGCGTCCTTACGGAAGGCGATAATAGCGGCGCGCTCCGGGGACGAACAGTGAGTGTGCAAGAATGAGTGACTCCATCGGCCCTGAGAAAGTGTATTTCAACTTGCTTTTCTTCTTCCAGAGCGCGGATGCCAAACTCCTACGCCTTTGCTGCCGGGTGCGCAAGGATAGCGACAAACGTGAACCGCATGAGCCGCAGGATCGCACGGTAAGCTGGACCGATTGTTTATGCTAGCTGATTGGCTGATTTTGTGATATCGTTCTGAACTTGGTGAACTGATAGTGTTTCTTCCACAGGGGAAACGCGCCAACACCGCCACCCTTTCCACCCTTCCCACTCTTCCCACTCTTCCCTCCGCCGGGTGATGATGACGGTGATGATGACGGTGGCCCTCCGCCCGGTGACGGTGATGATAACGGTGGCCCTCCGCCCGGTGACGGTGATGACGGTGGCCCTCCGCCCGGTGACGGTGATGATGACGGTGGCGCTCCGCCCGGTGACGGTGATGATGACGGTGGCCCTCCGCCCGGTGACGGTGGCCGTGGCCCGCCGCCAACCACCACTCCAACCACCACCACTCCAACCACCACCACTCCAACCACCACCACTCCAACCACCACCACTCCAACCACTTCAAGGTAAGTTTGTCGTAAGGAGCTGCAACTAGGTGAACTCGAAATAGTCCGTGGTACTTACCTGTCGCTTTTCTTTTATTGTTTTTAGTGGCTCATTCCTTCGGCGGCGCGGCACCGCCACCACCAGCAAGTCGAAGAGGCGTCGCGAGGAGGAGGAGGTGGAAGAAGAAGAGGAGGTGCGGGCCCCTTCTCCTCCTAAGAGGCCGCGGCGCCGGAAGCGCGATGATGAAGATGAGGATCCGCCTCCTGTCCCGCCTGTGGCCCGGCGGTCGCGGCGTTTGGCCGGGTTGGGCGTCGCCTTTTAGTCCATTTTCAATCTGAAAATTTGAATCTCATTTTGAATGTGGAAACCTGAAATCCGGTGAGTTTCTGTTTGCTGAAGACGGTTACGACTTGTTTTGAATTCTGTCAGTGTCCCGTTTAGTCTTCACAGGTTGTCTTGTGTATTTTCAGGTTACTGACGCCTCTCTTCTAATGTATTGTGTGTGGAGGCCGTGAAAGTGCCTGGAAATGTGTGGCCCTCAAGCATACCAGGAACAACTGCTTGTTGCGGAGACAGCAAATGGTTGCTTTGATTGGTACAACAAAGCTGGTGGAATGTGATCGTTGGCCTGCTGTCTCCTGTGTCATAGTGATGTTTCGTACATGGATGTGAATGCTGCCATTGGCATCTTCAAGACCAAGAACAGCATCGAGTTAGTCGGTTGGTTGCCCTATGTGGTGGGCATAACTACCAGCCCTCTACCGCGTCGTGCCAGATGCACTGCGCCAATGACATTTGTTGAAGGAAATCCAACGAGCAGTCACTTAAATTAGTGAAATCCAAATGCAGCTAAGCTGAAGCCTATCAGTTATTGCAGATAATCAATTACTAGGTAATTGGTAGTTTTACATTTTTATTTCCTTTCGCTGATTTTCCTGTTTCCTTTATAATATCTAATATGTCTGTTTTGTTTCAGATGTCCCAACTCTTATTTGATCCTGAAGTTGCATTGTATGTATGCCAAGTTGGCATTTGGTGCACTTGTTAGGCTGGAGATGGTATGGTATGGAAGAAGCTTACTTCTCGGGAGCTTGCCTAGCAGACTTGCCTGCTGGAAGGAACGTGGACAGTTGGCATGGACAGTGTTGACAGAAGGAGGAGTGAAAAGTATTGAAGACTGTTGTTGAAGGGACATGCCTTCAAAGTGATTTGCCCTGAAGCTGAGGCAACAACAGAATGGTGAGTTCCTATCTACTCAAGTCGAGTTTCTGTTGGTGCTGTGAACGTTACTTATGCTCTCTTGTTTGTCTTGTAGCCTTGATAGCGTGTCACTGCACTGATTAGCTAATATCCCAGAAGCAAAATTCTACAATCCAAGGCATTGCTTTTGTATGGCCTGTTTCTGCAAAGTGGACAGTTCTTCTAGTTGACAACCAAGCAGATTTGCACACATGAAACGATTTTACTATGTAAGTTGATGGATGATTTTTCTTCACTTCTACTTTCTTTTTTCTCTTTATACTAATGTACTGTTATCTTTCTTCCAGTTGACGACCTGAGCAGGGTTGATCAATGTTATGACTGAAGATCTAATCCTGATATTAACCTGGGAAGAATTTTATCTTTTTAATGGAGGGGATTTTTTTGTGTTTTTATTTTTTATTTTTAATTATTGACACAATATTGAGAAAGGATTGTTTTGAGACGACGCCAGATGAAACAATTTTACCATGTAAGTTGATAGATGATTTTTCTTCACTTCTACTTTCTTTTTTCTCTTTATACTAATGTACTGTTATCTTTCTTCCAGTTGACGACCTGAGCAGGGTTGATCAATGTTCCGGCTGAAGATCTAATCCTGATTTTAACCTGGGAAGAATTTTATCTTTTTAATGGAGGGGATTTTTTTGTGTGTTTTTATTTTTTATTATTGACACAATATTGAGAAAGGATGGTTTTGAGACGACGCCAGATGAAACAATTTTACCATGTAAGTTGATAGATGATTTTTCTTCACTTCTACTTTCTTTTTTCTCTTTATACTAATGTACTGTTATCTTTCTTCCAGTTGACGACCTGAGCAGGGTTGATCAATGTTACGACTGAAGATCCAATCCTGATATTAACCTGGGAAGATTTTTATTGCTATTTTATTAGAAAGATTGTTTTTGTATATTATTTTTCCTTTTAATCGTTGACAAAGATGGAAGAAAGGAGGACATTTTGTAGAGGCAAAACTTGTCAAGTTTTTTTTATTCTGTAAGTAATTTAAAATTCCAGTTTCCGTGTGGCTGAAATCTTCCTTTGTACTTATTCTCCCCTTTTTGTTTTCTTCAGCAGACAGCAGCCCAGACAGCTGACAACTGATTGATGAGGACAGAAGGCTTCGTCATTTTCACTCAATGGCATACACATATTTTGATGTGTAATTATGTAAGTATGCCGTGCTCTATTTACATCTCTGAGTTTTGCGCCCCAGTCTTTGTTTCTTATTGTTCATTATATCCCCAGGTTCGCGAGTATTCACCATCAGGTGCTGCTGGTCAAGAGAGAATGAACCCTTCAGTGAACACTGTACTGCACACCTGGACAGCTTGCTGCACACCCGCTACAGTCTATTGTAGCGAGTGAGAATGCAGTGGGATGCAGTCACCGAAGAGTTGAGTCTTGACTGCTTCTATCCAGTCTAATCTGAGAAGAGAGTGGTGGCTGCATCATGTTCACCAGCTTGTTAAGTCACGTGCTTGACTCATATTTGTTGTTCTATTGTGAGTAAGAATATATCCTAGCACTGTTTATGCTGGGAGAGTGGGGAACAAGAGTTTTAAGTGTCCTTGCCAAAACTGCACTTTTGTGCACTGGATGATTAAGTTTGGTATTATGTCATTCTTCTGAACCAATGGGATAATGTGATCTTTGCCCTTTGTTATTGTGTTTGGCAAGAGTTGCCATCAATACTGGCTCCTGTGTATGATAAATGGCTTTCTAACTTGGTATCTACTTTCTAGAGCAGTTGCTACAAATGGATGTTTTAATCCTCAAATGTAACTTGCCCAGAATTTCCTTTGGATCAGTCTTTACTTGAATACTCCGTGTCAGTTTTTGTCGTTTATTCATTGTGAGGAGGTAGGAGCAGATTTGGTTGGATGGGGACAAAATTTGCAGAATTACCAAGTGCATCACATTCCAATGGAGTCTCAAATTTATAGTTTATGTTGAGGGTTTGTCATGTTTTCCTCTTGATCTGCTGATGTTCAGCAGAATGGCAGGTTCATTTTGTGACACTTAAATTCTACTCAGATCATTAGTACATAGACTTCACATGCAATCCATTCTCCGCTCCCTCATTCGAAGCCCTTAAGAACAGTCCAATAACACACATTCTTGTTTCTCAGTTTTGCAATATGTGGAGTTTTATTGACTCGCTTGTCTTTCAGTATCCGTGTGTAAGGGCGCCCTTTCTCATGGATACTCTGTACAAATTTTTCGGAAGAACATTGAGCTGTGTTTGGTATGAATGAATGTGTATGCTAGTCTGGTTGCAAGTATGTATGATAACATGTGTGAGAGAGATGGTGGTGGTGGTAGTCACACAGTCTGGGGCCCCCTGTGTTTAGAAGGTGGGATTTAAGGGTATTTTGTGTGCTTCAATGTTCTTCCCCAAAATTTGTTTGAAAACAGCGAGTTTAGATGTACAGCAGGCGCGGATTTAGGGGAGGGGCAATTACCTCTCGCTTAGGGTACCAGGACAGCCTGGAAGGCCTGGAAGGTGGGCAAAAAGCGACACTTGCCCGTTGTAAGCAGGCGACAAGCAGTGCTTCACGGAAATTCTCGATCCGCGCCTGGAGTTAGGAGATTATTTGCCAATTAGGGCTATCCATTTAATCTTGACCCTCATCTGTCGATAGGAAGGAAAATACTGCAGGGTATTTGATTGAAGGTAGAGACTTTGTCTTCCTCTTAAGCCTGCATTGGTGAGGAGTCGTAGAACCTCCTAAAATGTGGCAAATGAAGCACACTGACCGCATTTGTGCGTCAGAACCTTTGTTTTATGAGGTAGTATTTTGAAGTCGACTCTTCCTGCTCAAATGATCAAACTCTGCCTTACGAAATCAACTTCCTGATGTCCTTTGGACTTCTATGCAGTAAAGGAGTCTATCCAGTTAAAAATTCTACCATTTTGAGGATTATGTTCTTGTGCCCCTCAATATCTGCGTCTCACTCGTGTTCCTTTGACCACTTCCTAACTGTCCAATCTCACGCATATTCACTGTTCCTGAAATAGACTGTCTCACAGAACCCTATGATTCATTCACATTCACCCTGCCTATGTTTACATCCCTTTTGATGAGGATGCGTAATTCATAGCAGATTCTTTAATTTTCTTTACATTTTCTCAATATATGGCCTGCCAATGGGATAATAAGAACAAGCTTTTCTCATGAATTGTGAATTGAGACTCTGTTTGTTACTGATGCGTTTCTCACTTTTTTTTTGCTGGGATTTAATTTTAAATTGTGTGCTGGTGTTTGTCACCGCGTGAAACTGAATGCTTGTGATCTTTCGTAAGAGCACTATTAAAGCAGATGCTTAGTGTCCTTAAAGTTCAATTTGTCTAGGAATTTCAAAAGTAAATTCTGATCTGGGGGATGTTTTGGTTTGTATTCTGCAATGGAGCAATGTTTAAAAGCTAATTTGATGAGCCTTTGTTGAAGCATCTCTTCCATTCCCTTTGATGGTAGTGGCAACTTCTCATGGTTTTTGTAATGGAAGTCTATTTTATTTCCATGCCTGTGTGGGCCAGGAATAGGTTTTAGCAATGAGCCTGTACTTTTACGATGTTAGTTCTTTGTTAATTGTAATGGTGTGCTAAGTGAAATTTTTCAACTCCCTTTATACCTTTTCAAAAGATACTGTGGACTTTGATTCAAGTAGGAAATATGTTTGTCACATAGAAAGGTGTATTTTATGTATTTTTATTCCTTTTAATTTTAAATATCCTTGAGTTTTCAATTTTTTGTTTACCCTGGACCCTGTTTGTGTATCTTGTGTACTGTTTAATTAGTGACTGGAAGACTGTTATACCCTGTGCATTTCATTTGCTTATTGCTTAACGAGTGAAATTTTTAGTCTCTCTATTGTGTTTGAGTTCAGTATTATATCTAGTAAGTTAAAATATGCATGTAATTAGATTTAAATCTGATGGTAGAGAACATTAAGTGTGTAAATTATCCTTACAATACATTAGGATTTTTTGATTGATAATTGTTGGTGTGTAACTTTAAAAAAAAAAATGTGCTACACTTAAACAAATGTTGTAAAAAAAAAATAGTGTGTAAAACGAAAATATTGAAAATGTAAAGACAAATACTTAGAAAAAAAAATGTTAAAAAAAATGTTAAAAAAAAAATGTAAAAAAAAAATGTTAAAAAAAATGTTAAAAAAAATGTTAAAAAAAATGTTAAAAAAAATGTTTAAAAAAAATGTTTAAAAAAATGTTAAAAAAAGAGGAAGATAAAAAAATTGTTAAGAAAAGAAAGAGGAAGATAAATTGTTAAAAAAAAGGAAAAAAAAATTGTTTAAAAAAGAGGAAGATGAATTTCTTTTAAAAAAAGAGGAGGATAAGAAATTGTTTAAAAAAATGTAAAGAGTCAATTGTTTAAAAAAATGTTAAATAAAGAATTGTTTCAAAATAAATGCAAAAGATGAAAGATTTTATGGATGCTAAGCAAGCATTTGTGCACTTGTTATGTTTGAGAGGGCATGGAAGAAGGTGACAAGAGCTTGCCTAGACTTGCCTGCCATATGGAAGGAATTAGGAAAGTCCAGAACAGTGTTAACGACGAAGGAGTGGGACTGTTATAGGATGGACATGCTTTGAAAGTGATTTGCCCTGACACTTCAGCGGCAACACTAAATGGTGAGTTTCTATTTGCTGAAGTTTAGTTTCTGTTAGTGCCTTGCATGTTTCTTACACTCTCCGCTGTTTGTTTTGCAGCCTTCATGGTTTTGTCACTGCAGTGATGAAAAAGCAGCTCCCAAGCGAAGACCAATCCTTTGTTTGTGCATGGCAAAGTGGGAAGTGTCCATTCCTGAAATTCAGAACACCATTGACATTTGGACGTAAATGGCCAATCTCATCGCAGACAGTCAGCTTTCCAAGTTTGATTGATGATTGGTGTATTGAGTGTTTGACAATGGTGACTGGGCCAAGGATGCCAGGCGTGTGCATAATGTTTTTCAACACAACTGCGGTAGCTGAGGCATGAACCAGTCTGAACCACAAGTTTGATTTGATGTATGCCAAGCTAGCATTTGTGCGCTGGTACGTTGGAGGGAGAGGGGTGGCCTGTTAAGAGGTGAGGTTATCCACTCGTTAATTTTGTTGCCCTTTAGTATCTAACAGTCTCTTTCCAAAACTGGGCTTAATGTAAATGCCCAGTGTCAAGATATTTTCCAGTCTCCATAGGTTCTTACTTATTTTCAGGTTGCTGTCCTGCCCTCTCCTGATTATTTTGTGGGCAGGCCAAGTGCATGGAAGTGTTCAGAAGGCATACCATGATGAGGTGTCTGTTGCGGAGATGACACATGGTTGCTGAATGCCGTACTTGGTCTTGCATGAGCTGTTACTCAAATTAGCTTCAGGCGGCAAAGCCTGTCCATTGTTCACCCAGACATGGATTCAAACACAAACTAGACCCCTGTATCAATTTGAAAGTGAGTCTGAGCTTATACAGATTTTCATTTGACTTCAGCAAGTTGATCTTTTTTTTTCTTCATTTCTTACCCCCCTTTTTATATCAGTGTAATAATCTGCTGCAATCTCTCTTCTAGCTGACAACCTAAGCAGGGTTGGTCAAAGCTGTGACAGAGGATCCAATTCGGATTTTAATCTGGGAAGAATTTTTTTGTTTTTGGAGAGAAGCTGTAATTTTTTTTCTGGCTTCAAATAATTGACAAAGTTGCAGAGAGCAGGACGTGTTGGAGAGCCGAACTCACAAATTTTTTATCCTGTAAGTTGCTTGTTCAATTGTATCTGTCTTGTTGCTGAGATTTTCATCTCTGTACTAATCCTTACCTCTTTGTTTTCTTCAGCAGACAGCAGCCCAGACAGCCTAAATGTTCATAGAAGTTCTGACAACTGATTGATTAGCACAGGAGGCTTCGTCATTTCAACTCGGCATACACAGATTATGATGTGTAAATATGTAAGTATACTGTGCTCTATGTACATCTTAGTTTTGTGCCCCATGCTTTGTTTCTTATTTTTGTTTCTTTTATCCTCAGGTTCGAGTATTCACCAAGTTTCGATGCTGGTCAAGAGAAAACAAACACTTCAGTGAATGCTGTACTTCAGAGTCTGGTGTAGTGAAGTGAGATAGTCATCCAAGAGTTGAGTCCTGGCTGCTTCAATCCAATCTGAGAAGAGAGTGGTGCATGCATCATGTTGACCAGCTTTAGGCCACATGCTTGACCCGTATTTGTTGCTCTATTGTGAGTAAGAATATATCCTCTGGGAGAGCGGCGGACAAGAGTTTAAAGTGTCCTTGCCAAAACTTCACTTTTGTGCACTGGATGACCAAGTTCTATGTTATGTTGATCTTCTGAACCAATAGCATGTGAGCTTGCGCTAAAATGTGTTCGGCAAGAGTTGCCTTCAATACTGGCTCTTGTTTATGATGAACTATGGTTTATTAACTAGGTTTCTAATTCCTAGAGCAATTGCTAACAAATAGATCTTCTAATTCTCAAAGGTAACTTGCCCAGTATTTCCTTTGGATCAGTCTTTACTTGAATACCAAGTCAGTTTTTGTTGTTTAGTCATTGTGAGGCGGTAGGAGCAGATTTGGTTGGGTGGGGGCAAAATGAGCAGAATTAGCAAGTGCATCATATTCCAACAGAGTCTCAAATTTATAGTTTATGTTGAGGGTTTGTCACATTTTTTTTCTTGATCTGCTGATGTTGAGCAGAACGGCAGATTCATTTTGAGACACTTTTCCACTCAACCTGAGCATTACAGAATGCGAAGAATTCACTCAGTCCATTTTCCTTTCCCTCATCCGAAACCCTCAGGAACAGACCAATTACACAAATTCTTGTTTCTTAGTGCCCATTTCAACAGTGTTCAAGCCTTTTTTAAATTTCTGTCAAAGAGAAAGCACCTTGTTGTAACAGTCTTTAAATTTAACAATACACAGAGTTTTGTTGACTTTGCTTTTCATAAACTTAATAATAGTATCCATGTGAAAGGGCGCCATTTCTCATGGATACTCTGTACAATTTTTTTGGAAGAACATTAAGCTGTGTTGGGGATGAAAGAATGTATGTGCTAGTCTGGTTGCATGTATGTATGATAACATGTTTAAGAGAGATTGTGGTGGTGGTTGTCACACAGCTTGGGGCCCCCTGTGTTTGGTAGGTGGGATTTAAGAGTATTTTGTGTGCTTCAATGTTCTTCCCAAAATTTGTTTGTTAATAGCGAGTCACAGTAGGAGTTAAGCAGGCGCGGATTTGGGGGAGGGTTTATATGGGTAATCACCCCTTGCTTATGCTTCGGTACCAGAAAGGCCCGCAATCGCCTGGAAGGCAGGCAACGGCCGCACCACTTTGCCCTTGTAAGCAGGCGACAAGTGCTGCTTCACCCCCTCCTAAGGAAATCCTGGATCCGCGCCTGGAGTTAGGCACAATTGCCAATTTGGGCCATCCATTTTGCAATGATGGTATTTTCACTTTCATTGGAAGTAAAATTCAGGAGAGTATTTGAGTGAAGGCACTGGTGACGAGTCATAGAATCTCTTAACATGTGGCAAGTAAATGTGCCATACGCTCACTTTATTTGTGCGTTAGAACCTGTGTTACTAAGAGTAATATTTTTAAGCTGATGCTTTCTGAAGGCTCTTTTGTATAGCAAAGCCAATTATCCACTTCATAATTCTACCGTCTCCGATATGCATATTGACAAAATTGTTCATGGGCTGAACACCACCTTGTCTTTCTAGCTCTGTTGATCTCTTTCTACCAATGTCACTCACTCTCAAGACGCTGAAAGTGACAGCATCATAGAACCTCATGATTCATTCACATTTGCCCCTTCTGCCTATGTCTGGATTCCTTTTGATGAGGGAGAATAATTCATAGTCATTTTCTTACTTTTTGGCGCCAATGGGACAGGAAAAAGCCTCTCCATGAACAACGAATTTAGACTCTGTTAATGATGTGTTCCTTTCTTTTTCCTTTTTCTGCACTTTGTTACATCACGTGCTGAACATGGCTGCATCTCAGCAGGCCCAGATGCACAGTTTCCTCGAACTTCAATTTGTCTGAGAATTTCAAGAGTAAATTCTGATCTGGGGGATGTTGATAGGCAAGCATTCAGAACAAAGTAATGTTTTAAAAGCTGATTAGATGAGCCTTTGTTGAAGCCTCTTGCATTCACTTTGATGGTAGTGGTGACTTCCCGTAGTTCTTCAAAGGAAGTTCCATTTTATTTTGAAATGTTTTATGCCGGAGTTGGACTTACATTGATTTATTGGTGTATGATTAGCCTGCACTCTCACAATGTTAGTTCTTTGCCAATTGTGATGATGCTCTTTCAGTGAAATTTTTCAACTCCATTTTGTTATTTTGTTGATTGCGTTTATAAATGGCTAAGTTGAGGAGAAATGGAAATGTTAACTATGATAGTTTTTGAAAATCAGCTTTTGGTTTGCCATTTTTGAATTTGTTTAAAATGAATTTAGATGTAGATGAATTACAAGTTTTCCTTATATATCAAAAGTTACTTGATGAGGAGTTCTATTCTATGAGGAAATATGTTTATGACAAAGGAGGGAGTAAATTTTTAAATGCTAATTAGATGAGCCTTTATGCCTCTCTTCCATTGACTTTGATAGTTGTTTTTTCTTTTAACACCTTTGAAAGGTACTTTTTTTTTTATTTTCAAATGTTACGTGCGCATAGCCAGAAAGGAATGTTTTGGTGTATGTTAAGCCTGTACTTTCAATGTTAGTTCTTTGTTTCATGATGCTGTGTTTTATTCGTGGTATCTTTTAACTTTTTATGTTACTTTGTCGATTGTGTTCCATAATGGCTAAATTAAGGAGAAATGGAAATGTTATATTGAAGATGGGTTTTTGTTTGTTTTATTTCAAATTGCTAATAAAAACAAATTAAATAAAATTTGAGACATAGACGACTCTAAAGTTTTCTGTATCTCTAAAGTTACTTGTTGACGAGTATTATTGAAGTGAGGAATATGTTGGTCACAAAAAAGAAAGGTGAATCTAAATATATATTTACTGTTGTTCTGTTCCCTTTATTATCTATTTCCACCATTTTCTTCCACTCTTTTCAATTTGCAACTACTCCGTCAGTGACAAAGGATTTATCTGACGAGTCACTTTCTGCAAGGGCTCCGCCTGTTTGCCATTTGTGACCGCACTTGTCTCATGTCCAATCCAGGGCTTAACCCACACGAATGTTTTGTGAATAAAATAAAGTTGGAGACACTAAACCGAACCTTCGCAATGGTCAACTGGGACACATTATTTAGTGTAAACGAATTCTCATATGGAAGACAGTTCCAGATTCTCTTCTAGTCCAAACAAGCTAAGTAACCGCAAATTGAAACGAAGTTGACATTAACAAAACTATGCACGTAATCATGCTTCCCTGCTGCTGGCCTCGAAGGACTAGGGCCGTATTAGGCGGGGACCAATCACAGCGCGTCTTGGGATTTCCCCGTTCCCGTCCGCCGGGAGGGTTGCGCGTGGCGTGGCCCATCTAGAGAACCGAACGGAAACAGGCTGGCGACAGATGAGGCTCTACTGACGAAAGTTTCTTCGGCTAAAGTTACTCAAAAATCTAAGATTAGAATCTTCACAGAAGTAATGTAGGTCTTTTGTCTTTCCCTGCAAGGAAAAGAGTAATTACAGTGCCGTAGCAAAAATATATCACTTCCATTGCAAAGTCGAAGTGAAATCCAGGTCCTCACTCGAGGCGGCCGTTGCCTCCGCGCCCTGAGCCACCGAGTGACAGTGAAGTCATGTGCCCATCTTTTGGCTGATGGTACCGGAATGTTCTGCTCTAGGCTTGGGAAGTTAACTGAGATAACGTAATTTCACTGGGGAGTCGCCAGGCCTCTTTACAGGCTCGATCGTCCGACCGGTCTGCGACCGACCAACCCATTGTGGGGTCACCTTTAGTTCCTCTCATCGGACCAACTGCGACGATAATTCCAGGATATTTCAGAGACATGCATTTCTGATGCAGTTGCCGGGTTTCAAGGTTTCACGCATAGCTTCTCTCATGTCAGCACATTTTCTTGTCGCGTCGGAAAACGGGGATTCGAACTGAGCGCCAGAAAAGGGAGTACAGCTCTCTGACCTTTCTTAATTTAAGGCCGCCCCCGAACGTCAGCCACGGTGCGACCGGCGGGACGGGCGGGACTACTCTAACGGCACGCGTGTCGGCGTGACGCCTGTCCGTGACGCGTGACACGCTGTGGTCCCTCACCTGTGACGCCTGCGGTCTCACTCCGACCCGTGCTCCGTCGCTCTGACTCACTCGCGCGCCCACGCAACGCCCCATGAGTGCGACAGAGACAGCGAAAAGGCACTGATGGGGAGCAGCCGGCTGGCCGTCACCATCCGGGCGCCAGGCAGTCACCGTCCTGCACTTGGAGAAGGCGTCCGAGCCGAGTGCGCGCGCGAGCTGCTCCGGGCGACCATCGCGGGGACCATGAAGCCCGGCTCCGGCAGGTGACGATGAGGAGAGTGCTCGCGGTGCTGGTGCTGGCCCTGGCCTTGGAGTGGGCTCGGGGGGAGTGGGTGCAGGTGCCCGTCATCGACGGCAGGAAGCAGGCGACGACGACGACGACGACGCCGGGGCCGAAGGGGGCTCTACGGCCAGCCTCGGTGCTGCACCCCGCGGGCCCGGCCGGCCCAGACGGCGCGGACCTCGTGGGCGCGCCGGGGCCGAGCGCCGACGACGTCATCACCATCCGCAGGACGGTGGGCGACTCCTTCTCCAACAAGCAGGGCGTCGTGCCGGGCCCCCGGCCTGCCGCGGTAGAGGCGGTACTCGCGGGGGCGGCGGAGGGGCCGGTGAGTGTCGCGGCCACTGCAGCCGCAGCCACTGCAGCCTCATAGCAGGGAAGCCTGGCTAATGCTCTCCGTCCGCAGGAGCCCGTCGACGGTCATGGCGCCGAGGCAGAGGGCGAGGCCGACGGCCAGGCCGACGGGCTGTCGCTGCGAGTGCTCCGCGAGGCGCACCAAACGCTGCTCCGCCAGAGCACAGTCCCCGTTAGCGGCAAGCTGGAGTTCCTGCGCCACCTCAAGAACAGGATGCTGAGGCACATTGGTGAGGCTTTGCTCTTGCCCTGGATCGCACAAGGCCTGCAAGGTCTGCAAAGCGCGTAAAGGTTTTGTCCAACTGTCTGCGCAGCCTCCCTCATTCCCGCGTCGGCGCTCGGCCTGGTCGGCGCGGCGGCCACGGGGAGGTCCACGGGGAGGGCTCTCGGAGCGGAAATGGCGGAGGGCCGCGGCCACAAGGGCGTGGGCTTCCCCTCCAACGAGAGCACGCTCATGTCGCTCGCCTTCCTCGTCTTCGCCGTCTTCCTCGTCAAGGTGGTCATGGTGAGTCCCAGACACACGCCCCGCTCGAGCTAATCGACGCCCCTCTGTACTGTACCGTTGTGTCGCGTTGCAGCAACTCATCTACGCCGTGCAGAACAGCCAGGCCGCCAACACCATGGGCGTGCGTGTGGCCCAGATGCAGCTCCCGGGCGGCGGCGTGTCCAACATGATGGGCACCATGATGAGCATGGTGCCGGCCATGATGCCTCCCATGATGGCCGCCATGAACCCCGCCATGGGCATGGGCGGCATGAGGCGCGCGCGCAGGGACGCCAAGCAGACCAAGCAGGCCGACAAGGACCTGGACGAGGACGTGGACCGCATGACCAGCCGCGTTCTGGACGCCATCCAGAAGGCCAGGGCGCGGGTGGAACAGTTGGGAGAGGGAGTGGTAATGGACTGAAACGGCCTCCACACAGTGCAAGGAACTCAAGTGAAGAGAGAACAATTATTATTGCTTGATGGAGTGCATTAACAATCAAAATTTACCATTTAAAAAAAAATAATCACATTTGATATCTAGCATGGTAGCCGTCATGCTTTTAACATATGAATGACTTAAAAAAGAATTAATTAGACAAAATACAGAAAATATGTAACATAAATCTAGATAAGAGACAGAGTAACATAGTGACACATAGATTTTGGTCAACCACAAGAAACAGTGATCAAACCACTGCTCATAAATAAATAAACAAAATTCTGCAAAGTCTTAACATTATTGCTTCTTTTTGTGCTTATCAGAAATGGTGTACTTAGCATATGTCTTGGTGGGATCATATGGTTCCCACCGACTGGCTGGAAAAATATGTTTGTTACGTTCATACCAATGCCTTAATAAAACCTTTCCTGCATGGGAGTCTTCCTTCTCTAAGGTTGCGTCATTTGTCATCCTTATGTCATCATGCACATCAAATGTAAACAGGGGTCCACTTTTACCTCGGGCCTAAAGCAAAAGAGAATGTACTATCAGTTCACACTTTCTCGTAACACTAATGGCAGAAAACACAATAAAAAATTTAAGTGGCTTACCTTGGTTACAATGAAATCATAAAATGTATAGTGGTGCGGTAGAATGAGATCCTCTTTGACATACATCAGCTGATCAGCCATTACAGTCTTCAACTCACTAAAATCTTTGCGCAAAATCTCCAAACATCGTTGCAGGAATTGGTAAATTGAGTTGCCTGTGAGGAGAAAACACATGTTTTTTTAATGAAGAATGAAGAAAGTACAAGTAAGTTTAAACAATGGTTTAGTGAGAATATTTTTCAGTGAACTAACCTTTTTTCATTCTTACAGTCCTTCTGTGGCCGGATCCATCCCAATAACTGAAAGTTACCTCAATTTCTTCTTCCTTGAGCTGCTGTTGCTTGGCTGCCCAATCCTGATGATAGAATGTAAATTAATAAGAGGAGGAGTAGTAATTTTACATTTTAATACACTAATAGTCTACATAAAATTAACATACTTGTCTTAGCTCCTCTCTTAGTTTGTTCTCCTCTTCCTCACGTTCACGATCAGGTAAAAAGCTGGTGTCTACATCAGGATTCTTCCTGATTTTCTTTTTGGCTGGGGGCGTGAATTTTTGTTCCACTCCATCATCACTTGTAAGCTGGAAAAAAATAAAGAGGTATCTAAAGGATGTTTATAATCACTTCTTTTCCTTTCTTCCCATTTTCATATAGTGTATCAGTTAAGAGTAACTTCATCGACAGACTTGCCTCGCCATTACGCTCTCCCATCATTTTGTCAATAGCTCGTTGCTCCATAGCTGCCATGTACTCATTTAGATCTTGATCTAAGGGTTCCTGCTTAATTGGTACATCTGCAATGCTGTCTGATGTGACTGTAGCTTCAGGTTTCCTCTTCAAACTTGGCATTGCATGCTCTTCTTCCTCTTCATCCTCATCCTCTTCAAGGTTAAATGACAAAGCCTGAATCTAACATGTCATGTGGAAGAAGGGAAGTGAAATTAGCGAGCAGTACATTGCAATAATAATGTAGTATTAGAGTGCAAGTGCAGTATATTTACCTGACGTTTTTGACGATCCTTCTCAGCTTGCTTAGCTTCTAAGGCTCTTTGTTTCTCCCTATCTTTCTCTGCTTGCTTTTGTGCTAGTTTACGTTCACGTTCCTTGACAATATTTTCTTGTTTGGCTTTCATTTCATCAAGTGTGACAAGACCAATGGTCGAACTCTAAAAAGATAATTCAAATTACAAATTGTAAGAGAAAATATTCATTAACACACCTTAAAGGGTCACATGATTACAAAAGATAACATACCTTGAGTTGCTGTTCAACAGCATCATAATGAGCAGCAAATTTATTCTCTATATTGCTAAGTTTTAAATCTTCTTCTATCTTTTTCTTACGATACTCAATTTCTTCCAAAGCTTTCTCTCGCTTCTTCATAAGATGCATCGCTCGGCCAGCTTCGCTGGCTGCACCTTTGTAGTGTGCCATTATGACAAGGATATACTTTGATGTCACAAAGAAAATACCTGCAAAGAAGAAACCACACTTAAATATATGTCAATCCGTGGGACGGACAATTGTAACTCAAAAGTCCAGCAATGAAAATTTGCACAATTTTAGAAGTAGTTTTAACAATACCAAATATAATATTTAAATTATTAAAAAAGAAGGTTGAGATGAGCTCAACCCCACTTACTGATCAACTAATGTTTAGAAACATTCAAAAGCCATTTGAATGAAAAGAAGAAAACAATCTCTACGATGAGAGGTTAAGTAATCTTTGGCAGTAATCTTACATGGTACTTATCTCTAAAGCACGAGAAAAGGGCACATACCGTTCTAAACACAGAACAAAATCTGTCAATTAACGCCAGAAACCCAGTCAAAGAAAAGATCCAAAAAAACAAGTAGCGTCTGCTGAGCGCTACGTTTGTTGTGGACGGCTCACGGCCTGAGTGATCCCTCCCCCCCTTCTCTTCGCCTCCCCTCCGGAACATAAATCACACTGGCAGTGATGTTGTTTACACATTATGGCGGCTCCCTTGAGTTGACCGCCCTTTCATCAACACTTATGACGGGACTTTTGTCTTTATTTAAGTTCAGGGCAAGGTAGAACTAATGAGAACCGTATTTAGTCCCCTCTTATGTGACCAAAACGCTAATTATTTTGTAATGTCACAATCAAACACGTTATCTGTGCTGCACAGCCGGTAGTGGTTTGAGTTTGTCAGTTTGACGTCGAAAATGATTCTCCTAGTAGATTCTCGCGAAGCCATTCCTGAATTTATCAACTTTACAAAGTGCAACCCGGTTTCAACTGAAAATGGATTTTTGGTCAGCGTACAATCTTCCTCCCTTATGATTTGGATTGAAGACAATAAGGTAATTTGATTTTTACAGTAATAGTATAATGGCTTTTATGCAGATTGCCAGATACCTTACCTGTAATACGGTTGTCACATATTTCAAACTCTCTTTTCTTTTAATAATAGGTGGTTCTCGACACTGGGCATGGGCTACCAATAACTACAGTCTGTGTTTCGGCTTCTTCAAACCCATATGTATGCTCATGTAGTGACGACAAAGTTATAATGTGGAGTCTGGAAGACTTCTCCAGCAATCATAACAGCAGAACACCAAATCCTGGTTTACTTGTTGGTTTGGAGCTAGGATCCATTAGTGACTGTTCCATCAGCTGTGACAATACTTGGCTTGCGCTCTGCAGAGAAAGTGATGTTTTGATAGTACGTCTGCAGGTAACTAAATCAACTGTCAATTTTTTTTACAAACTTTTCTTACTGTGTAGTAGACTTTTGAATGGATATTTAATGTTGTGCATCAAGCACACTGACGGAGTATTAAATGCAGTCTCCCATCACGCCACACTTGAGTCTCCTGGGGAGGCCCCATCATTTTGCCGTTTCTCACCAATGGTTGCTAACCTTCTAGTCACTGCGGATGACTCCAATACATTTAAGGTACTCTGTTTGAATCAAAGTCGTTTTGCTGTTGTCATCGCCTTTCTGAAATTGTTTTTTCGATGTCGCATATTGGTTTCAGGTGTGGGACACTCAGTCAGGCCAAGTGGTCCACCACGCGGCCCTGGGTGGCTGGCACCGCATTTCTTTCTGTGAGTTTGTTCTGTGTGGCTCGCACCAGGGGCACTTGCTGGTGGGCTCAAACCGGGGAGTTCTTCACCTTTTCTCTGTCAGCATCAGCAAGCCTCCGAGGGGCATGGGCCACGTGTCTGCGACTCCTCCATCGCGGAGTTCGGTCTCGGTGACCGCCGACGGTGGGTTGCTGGATCAGTCATGTACGTTTCCAAAACAGTATACTGTTTTACTGTCTGAAGTCTGAGACGACGTTTCACATTCCACCGCAGACTTGGGTGTAGTGGCAAACACCGAAAAAGGGTCCAAGTCGGGGAATGACCACATCACGGCGAGCCGACTCCCCGCCACGCCTCCGGGTATGCCTCCGAGTACGCCCCCGGCCGGGCCTCCTGCTTGTCCTTGCGAAACGAGACTCTGACCTGCCCCACTCCTCGGCCATGTGCAGGCGGTGCCGGCCGAGGTGCCGGCCCTGCCGACGGCTGCGAGGCCAGCTCCGTCATCCTCGGCGCCCTGCTCCTGGACGCCTACCCGGAGTGCACCGCGTCGCCGTCGTCGCCGCCGCCGTCCGAGGAGACGCCGAGCGACCTGCTCCCGGACGAGGCAGACCCCGTCGTCGACGGCATCCTGGCAGCGGCGCCGTTGCTCGCCGTTTGCAGCAACCTGGGTATCGCGGTGTACGACTGCAACACGGGGGCCTGTCTGGACTTTCGTCCCTACGCAGGTCTGCGGTCTGCTTTTCTGTCTGTCTCGCTCTTTCGAAACCTTTGCTTACCAATGCTTACCAACTCGAGACTTTTCGCTCCTTAGATTTGTTGGGGCAGAGCCCTCCCTGGTGTCCACGGCGGTCTTATCGGGCCGCTCGCCGGGCAGGATGACCTGCCTGGTGGGCGCGCTGGTGGGCTGCGGCCCCAGGACCCACCTGGTCCACCTCGCCTGCAGCCCCAGAGAGCACCTTCCCCACGCGTCAGGGATCAGCTTCCTCAACCTGTGAGTAACTGGTTTTTAAAACGAAACGCCTCATTTTGAAACCTGGAAGCCATGAATAATTTTGTTGTTAATGGGCACAGGTCGTCGTTGACGCCGCGCTCCCCGCTCCGCGCTCAGTTTGTCCGGCCAGCCGTCGACGGCGTGACCGCGGCCTACGGGAAGGGAGCGCCAGCGTCCTCGTCGTCGAGATCTTCGAGTCGGAGCTTGGCGCCCACGGCGCCGCCTCCCCGCCCCGTCAGGTCCTCTGGGTACGGCCCCGGCGCCGGGCAGCGGCAGCTGTTCGTGCCCGCCACCAACAAGCGGCGCACTCGCGGTCCCCCTGTCCTCCCCGAGACCGGGCTTTGGGGCGGTGGCGGCAGCGGCGGCAGCGGCGGCAGCGGCGGCCTGCTGTCCGGTGTCGACGCCAGCCTGATGCGCTCCTGGAGGCCGCCACTTCAGCAGCGCGGCAAGGTCAGCCTCTGGAACGACTTCGGCACCGCGGTGCGTCTGGCTGCCTCGGGTGAGCACGTGGAGCGGCGACGACGCGAAGGCGACGACGCGAAGGCGCCGAAGGTGCGTATCCTGATGCGTGCCTGTCGGCAGGTGACGGCGCCAGCCTCGCGTGCTCGTGCGGCCCCGGCGTCATCAGCGTGCTGCGGTGGCCGCGGCCCAGCGTGGAGGACGGCGTGCGCATCACGGGCCACGACTCACGGATCACCTCCATCGACTTCAGCGCGGACTCCAACTGGCTGGTGGGTCTAGTCTACGAGTCTAGTCCGGCGGATCGCCGGTGCTCATCGTTTGTGTGGCCTCGTTTTGCTCGATCTCCGTTTCGTCCGGCCCATTTACACACTCACAGGGCCAGGCTGCAGAGCGCCGAGCCGCTCTCCAGCTGCAGCCTGTGCGGGCGTGCGGGCCCGGCGCGCGGTAGCGTAGCGCCTGTCAACTCCGGGGTAGGCAACACGGCGGGGCCGCACAGCGCTGTGCTTCGGGTGCCTACCTCGCAGGCTGACCGCCTCGCCCATTACCATTACGGGCTAGACCACAGTTGATCGTATGCCGTTTCGGACCCGACACATGCCCGCTGCACTGCAAGACGAGACATGGGCGTCCTTACCGGGCGGCCCGAGGGCGGCCACCAAGGCACCTCGCAGCTGCCCGCAGCTCGCTTGAAACGCTGCAAACGCTGCACGTGCCGCAGATGAGCTCCTCGGGCGACGGCAGCACCAAGGTGTGGGGCTGGCGGGATCGGCGCTGCCTCCTGGACATCCCGGACACCGGCATCGGCGAGGCGGCCAAGGCCAAGGCCTGCGCGCCGCGACAGCGACAGCGGGGCCAGGGAGTTGCCGGTGGCAAGGCCGAGGGGGCGGCGCGGGGACACGCCGTCGCGCAGGCGTCCTTCTTCTACCTGGACCGCTTCATCCTGCGCGCCGTGGCCAACTACGTGGACCTCTACTGCCACCGCCTGCAGGAAAGGGCCGAAGTCGGTGCCGTGCCCCGGTAGGTCCCAGAGTCCCAGTCGACAGGTTCCGAGGGCCGCCTTCGTCTTGGCCTTCGTCGCTCTGTCTCTCTCGCACCTCGTCTCGCACTCGTGGGGCGTCCCGTGCGAGAGAGACAGAGCGACGAAAGCGGCCCTCGGAATCAGTCGACAGGAGCGTCTTCGTTGAAGCTGTGTCGAGAGTTGCTTTGTGTGCAGGGTTGGCGGTCCTCGCGGCTGGCGGCGAGTGCGTCGGATCTCGCTGCCCACTCAGCAAGCCACGTGCTTCGCGGCGCCCAACACCTTCTACTCGAGTAAGGCCCTGGCTGAACCTGGCTGGGCCTGGCCGCCGATCAAGTTAGCGCGTTTAATCCACTCTCCCTTTCTGGCAGACCTCCTGGTCGTGGGGTGCGCGAGCCGGTCGCTGCACGTGTACGACGTGGACGCGGAGCGCTTCTTGGTGGAGGTCCGCGACGCGCACCCTCGCGCCCCGCACACCCTGGCGCTGGCCACGGCCTCGGCAGCCGTCCCGCAGAGCGGCCGCGCCGTGGACCTCGTCGTCAGCGCCGCAACCTGCGACGGCGCCAAGATGTGGGACCTGCGGCAGGCCAGGTGAGTGGAAAGGGACGACCGTCTGCCTGGCCTGGCGTAGCCGGCGTAGCCTGGCGCTTTCACCTGCCAACTTGATTTTGAACGGCCCAACGGCCCCCAGGTGTGTCCAGAAGTACTCGCGGCACTCCAACCGCGCCCACTCCTGCGGCGTGGCGCTCAGCCCATGCTGCCGTTACCTGGCCGTTGGATCGGAAGACAAATGTGTGAGTTGCCATTCGTTCGTGTCGATTCGACGTTGTAAGGGCCTTACTGATGGTGCTCATTGGTGCAGGTCTACCTTTACGACACGCGCAAAAGCAGCGACTACATTGACAAGATGCTGGGGCTGAATGATGTTGTGTTGGATGTGGTGTGGAACCCCAGAAGACCCCAGCTTGCTGCATCAGCACTCAACAGTTGTGTTGCAGTATATGGATGTGTTTGAAGGGATTTAGTGGTTGAAACCTGTTGTGTAAAAAAAATTAAAAAGGGCTTCAAATCAAAAACAATACTCCTCAAATGACTTTGGAGGGTTGTAGATCAACTTTAATTGTGTTTATAACACAGAACGTGTTTATAAATTAAATCCACAAACATGGCACACTTAGTATTTTTAACACTAAGTTGTATTAACACGCATGTTTAATTCTGACAAGTATACATGCTGTTCTGGACATGAGTGACTGAGGTTCTGCCTATTCTATCTACATTATGTTACACTGGTGTTCAGGAAGGTTTTAATTTATATCTAGTTATGATTTTCTTTTTATGACGAAGTGGTACTCTGAGTATCCTTTTTTCGCTTAATACAAATTTGTAACTTCGAAAACAGCTTATTTCGTGTGATGAACAGTGCTGATATCACAACCAGGGTATCTTAAGGACAATATTGCACAGGTCAGATACATTCCCCTCCCCACCCCACCCCACTCCAGTAGTTGAGAAGCTTTGGTAATACAATATACTTTATACACAGATTCAGCTGCTTCAATTGAGAACAGCCTTTGTTTAAAACAGCGGCCAACTGGAAACCCACAAGACAAGTATAAACAATCATACTTGCAGTTGTAGGCCTGTTATTTCCTGTGAGTGGACATCTGAGGATGAATCCAGAGCATCAGGCATCTAGTTTACAAATTAATTGACTGAGCAAAATAGTTACTTTTAAGGCCACACTTTGGACTGGTTATGTTAGTGGAAATAACCATTTTTTTGATAGTGCTGTCAAATTTTGTTAAAAAGTGACAGGTTACCAAATTTGCAAAAAGACAGAATTTCACATGAATGCCTTCAAGGGCTCAGTCTCAAAACAGAACCATTTCCTTTCACACCTTTTAGATTTTTAACAAATGGTCCCAAAAAGCTCCAACAATTAAATTATGATGCACAATGCAAAGATGAGGTCCAATAATTACAAATTAAGAGACCATACACTGCTATAACACAATAAATACAATTGTTAATGGAATGCACTCTTTCAAGGAAGAACACTCACATTGGAGTATAGTCAACTTGAATATACAAAGCAATAAATAATTTTTCTCAAAGTTTCTTTTTTGCCACACAGCGACTAAAAACACTAGATGGTTAATTTGTAAATTGTTCTTAAATATATGCTAGTCTTTTGCAGGCACAGTTCACTTCTCAGGTTTGTTTCCCTATTTCCAAGTAACATGACAAACTATTAGAGTCTTGTAAACATACAAGTAGTAACATATATAAAATTTGACAATAAAAACAAACTACAACTCTAACAATTTGTTCCTTGTTGAAAGGATTCCCTAAGTCCTGAAAAGTTAAAAACTAATAATTTAAAATAGAAAAGTAAGAAATATTTTTTTAGAAACGCTTGCTGGTGGGTACTGATCGGGAATGTAGAATTATTGCTTAGACTAAATTTTTAAACAGGCCTCAGTTCATCTTAAAAACTTTACCCTGAACAACCTGCAATCCTCACAGTTTGCTTTCTTCACATTTGTCACCTGTGTCTCCTATTTCACAAAATCATCAGTCCCGTATAAATTTCTACACAATATGTACACGATTCTCTAAAATGCCTTATAAACTATATAATATATACATTTACAATAACAATCTTCTATACAAGCGGAAAGCTTGTACTTATCGTCGTAAGTACTTCTCTTTAGAGGTTCATTTGTTGTCAGTCAAAAGTAACTGACATCAATAATTATCACTGGTTTCAAGTTTCATCACAAGAGCAGATGGAACGGCTCACAATTTGAAGCACTCAAGGCTCTTCGCTCGAGTCTCGAGCACTTCTACTTCGTCCATTGGATGCCATTGAATCATTTTCAGAGGTCTGCAAAATGAAAAAGATATTTTGATTAGGCCACACTGCTACAACTTCAGATGAGAAAACACCTATGATAAAATGCACAGTGCTCGTACCCATTGTTTCCTGCTGAATTTCTACCTTGTAAGATGGGTTGTCATACGCCGATTGACTCTTTCTACAGGTAGAGATGGCAGCCTTGCTCTGGGCGCACTTTTTGAGCAGTAACAGAGTGAGCGCCAGCGAGGTGAGGATGGCCAGGGTGGCGATGATGGCCACGGCCACCAGCGGCCCGTAGTAGTCGGACACCTCGGCCAGGGGGGTGCCCTCCAGCTTGCCTGCAACACCAAGGAGGACCTTAGCAAGTCTGAGCGCTGCGACGCGGCGAGGCCGAACTGTACCTTGTTGCGTGGAGCCCGCGGCCGTCGGCGCCGAGCCCGGCTTGGTGCTGAAGTCTTGCACGTTGCTCTTCTTGATGCGGCCGTTGGTGAGGTACGCCTCGAGCCATAGCCGGTACCTGGTGCCGGGCTTGAGGTCCTGGATCATGGTCTTGGGCGGTGAGTCCCGCTTTGCGATCTTAAACGAGCTGAAGTCCTCCTTGCCCGCGTCGCTCTGGTAGATGGCGCGGAAGATGTTGACGAACTTGTCCTCGGGGTAGGGCACGCCCTGCCAGCTGAGCTCCACCGACGTGGACTTGATGTGGTGCACGTCCAGCGTCAGCTCGAACTTGTAGGGGTCTGGAAAGGGCAAGGGCGTCGTGAGGGCCGAGGACGAGGGCGCAGCTCCAGCTGCTGGCTAGCGGAGCTCCGCCTGCTTACCGTTCTCGATGCCCGTGGTGAAGGTGACCGTCCTCTCGGACAGCAGCTCGGTGGTCTGGCCCGTGAAGGGGATGAAGTAGATGCCGACCTCGTACTGCGTGTCGGGCCGCAGACCCTCCAGCGTGTAGCTCGTGACGGCCCTGTGGATGAGGGGCGTGGCCGCGTACACCTTGCCGTCGATCTCCTTGTAGCGCAGCTGCACGCCGTCGATGTAGTTGATCTCCAAGGGCTTGGCCTTCCTCCATGACAGCCGCGCCCACGTGGCGTTCACCTCGGCCACGGCCAGCTCGGCGTCCACGCGGATCTGCGGCGGCTGCGTCGTGGTGGGGGTCGCTGCCAGAAGACAGAGCGTCAACACAGTCATTCCAAAACTCCAAAACCAAGCCGCTCCGCCACGGCGCGCCAGAAGAGGCGTACTCACATCGGGGCAGCGTCCGGACTTGCAGCACCTGGCTGGACGGCGTGTTGTGCAGGTCCTTGAGGATGACGGTGATCTTGATCTTGTACACGGTGTCGGGCTGCAGGCCGCCCAGTTCGAACTCGAGCTGCGGCGTGGCGATCAGGTCCCTGGGCGGCGCCAACACTTGCTGCTCCCACGTGGCCGGCTCGTCGTTGCTAGAAAGCGAAGTCGGAGAAGGGTTAGGAAACGGCACGCGCCAAGCCCAAACGCTGCGGCGCGCTGCGGCGCGGTGACGGGGACGTGGAGTTGGCTTACTGGATGTCGGACGTGTACCGCAGCTCGACGCGCCCGTGCAGCCCCACGAGCACGGACGGCACGGAGAAGACGAGCCGCACCGCGCTGTCGTCCACGGCCTCCAGGGTGTGCACCGTCACCTCGTCTGAAACAGGGAAAAGGTGATGCCGCCAAATGGAACTAGGGAGGCGGGAGGCATTTGCAGTGTAGTGTACCTTGCCGAGCGGCTCCGGGGTGCTGAGGGAATCCAGGAGGCAAGAATCCATCGGGGAAGCCTGGCGGACGAAACGAGAATCACTATTTAGGCAAAGTTGTTTGACAAAACGAAAGGGGGACATTGATTATTAGTCTGACATGTGCTAGAAGACTACAACAGGCAACACGCAAGAAAGGGGGCCACAGCCGCTGGGGAGGGAGTGTGGTGGGGACGGTGAAACAAGCATCATGGCATCGAGATGGCATGCAGGACCAACCTGAGTAGGAGTGGTTGCTAAGCAACTGAGCAAGATGCTGCTGAAGTGCTGGGTGTTTGGACGTCTCAGTCGCGAGGTCGTCTTCGTGCTCGAGTCCAAGTCCTTGTCCGTGGTGGGGTGGGAAGGGGACAGGGTGTGCGGGAGGCTGCTGCTGCTGCTGCGGTCTGGTGTGCGGCAGGGCGCCGTGCTCGCGCAGGGCGGCGATGATGTGTTCCTGGAGGCCGGCCGGCGAGCTGGGGCCTCCATGCGGTGGCACCTCCACGTGGTACACTTTGTCCCCCTGGAGGCCCTGAAGACCTTGCTGGTTGTGCAGAAGGTATAGGTCTGCGGGGTTCTGCGGAACTTCCTGGGGGCCGCCATGGGGGATGCCTTGAGGAATGCCTTGAGGAATAGCATGGGGGACGCCCTGAGGAACCCCCTGGTGTATCGCGTGGGGGATGCCTTGGGGAACACCCTGTCGGACGCCGTGAGGGATGCCTTGAGGGATACCTTGAGGGACGCCCTGCGGGATACCGTGGTGAACGCCCTCCTGATCCTGGATGTGTTGGATGTAGAGTTCTTCCGGAGTGGGTCTGCGTGGCGGCTGCCCTTGGATGGGCGCGAGGCCCCTGGGGGGAAGTCCCTGCTGGGCCACGTGTCCCTGGTGGGGCGGCAGGCCCTGTGGCGGCAGCTGCTGGTACGGCGGGACGCCCTGGTACTGCGGCGGCAGGCTCTGGTGGACGCTGTGCACGTTGTGCGGCACCACGGCGATGATCTGGTACTCCGGGTCCACGTTCTTCTTGTCGGAGGGCAGCGGGAAGTACTGGCCCTGGTGGCCCGGCCCCTGGGCGTGCTGCGCATGCTGGCCGGGGTGCGCGTAGTGCTCGTTGTCCTCGTGGTCCTCGTAGTCATGGTCCTCGGGTTCGGCCGGGCCGGGCGGGCGCGCAGGGCCAGCCGCGGGGTGCTTCCCGTCCCTGTCGGCGTCCTTGCTTCCCGTGGCGTCATCATCATCGTCGATGCGGAAAGGCCCGATGAAGTGCGTCTTGTGCGGCTTGGAGGACTCAGGGGACGGCGTCGGCGCGTACGGGCCCGGGAAGGCGGCGTGCGACGTCGGCGTCCTGGGCGGCGTCTTGGGCGGTGCGAACGGACCCGGGAAGGGCGGCGAGGCCTCGCCGGGCTTCTGGGCGACCTCCTTGGGTGGGGCCAGGACGCCGAAGGGACCCGGGGCTGAGGGTGGCTTGGTTGGGGCAGCAGCAGCAGCGGGGCTCGGACTGGGGTCTGACGGGGGCGCGAGGACGAGCGGGAAGGAGGCTTTGGACGGGGTGGGGGTGGGGGTGGGGGCGGGGACGGCCGATGTCTGGCTCGAGTTCGAGTCGCTGCCTGCAATGAAGCGGTGAGGCCCGGCGGGGCGCGGGGTGGGTTAGTGCGAACATGGCCTACATAGGCGGGTGAACAGACAAGAACAAGCAGGCTACAAAATCACAGCTCTCGACTATGCGGCCGATAACGGCGATTGTCTCATGCTGAGTAATCTGAAGGATCTGGATTCTAGAGAACAGGCTAGCACTACTGTCCGACATTTCGCGGCGGCTTGATCTAGATTAGTGACAAAGCGTTCTGAAGAGGTGACTGAAAACAACATGACGGCAAATGGAGGCATTTGAGTCCACGCGTTGCCGACTACCTGCGATTCGATTTACTCAATGACACATACGTGTACAGACACACATGCAATGAGGCGGTGGCAGGCGGTTTGTGCCGGGGTGGGTGCACACGGTACGAGCGCATGCCGGTGGACACGAGGACACTTGGCCGTCGCCGGCGTCGCCGCAGCGCGCTGGTTGCTTACCGGGATGGCTGCCGAAGTGCGGCACTGGCTGCGGGCACATCCAGAACAGGCAGCAGTCGTCGCCGTGCTGGTGGTCCAGGATGGCCTGGTGCGGCGGGCAGGGCAGGCCGGCGGGCGGCGCGGGCGACACGGGCGGGCACACCGCCTCACACGTCACGTTGCCGTACTCGCAGAAGCAGCGCTGGTCGCAGCCCGTCACCTTGGTGGGGATCTCGCTGAAGTTGGGGAAGCGCTGGTCGGCGTAGACGCAGGACCCGTTGTTGCGGCAGGACACCTTCTCGGGGCAGCAGTGGGGCGGGTTGGGCACGAAGTTGCGTGGCACCGTCTCCCAGTCCAGGCACTCGGGGTCCAGCAGGTCCAGCCCGAAGTCGGTGGGGCACTCCAGGGGGGCGCACTGCATGCCCGTCGCAGTGCACGCGCAGAACGCCTGGCAGCCGTCGTGGAACTCCTCGTCTGGAACACGGGGGCGGCCATCATGACGGGCGTTCCGCGGATACCCTCTCGTCGACGACCTCCAGGACCGGGGCGAGCACTCACCCAGCGCGTAGCTCTTGCCCTTGTAGGTGCATTGGCCGGCAGCGGCCGCGGGCACGGCTGCGGGCACGGCCGTCGTGCTGGAGGTGGCGTTGGCGGGCGCCGGCGTGGAGGAGGGTGCGGGCAGGCCGGGTGGCAGCGTCACCTCCACGGCGCTGCCCATGTCCGCGCCCACGCGCAGCCGGATGAAGTACGTCCTGCGGGCAGGCCACACCAGAGTGTTACATTTGACGCGCCGCGCGTTGGGCGGCTTGGCGGCATCGAACACGCCGCAGTAAAACGCCGAGGCCAGTACGACAAGTACCTGCCGGGCTGGAGGCCGGAGAGGAGAGGCGCCGCGGCCGCGTCGTGGAACACGGTCTGCGCGCGCCACAGCCGGCCGTCCAGGGACGCCTCCACCGTCACGTTCTCGGGGACGTCCTCGGAGGGCAGCGACAGGCGCACCGCCGTACTGTTGATGGCTTCCGCGCCGCTCAGCACCAGCCGCATGGCGAGGGCGGCCTCCTCGCCGCCTGCACGGAGGAAGGACGAGAAGCAGTGTCACTGGCAGTCGGCAGGTCGACGGCAGGCCCACAAAGGACAGCGGGCGACCTTTGGCGCGCAGTGCGCGGTACGCGGCGGTACGCCTCCACCGTGCTTTACGTACCCATGGCCGGTTTGCCGACGTCGTGGTCGCCCAGGCTCACGTCGCACAGCACCACCGAGCAGCAGGGGTCGGCGCGGTCCGGCACGGCCAGGCAGCGGTCCGACATCTTGGCCTCCGTGGGCGGACACCTGTCGCAGAGGCAGCCGGGGTCAGGTCGCGAAAGGGTCGTGGGTCGCGCGTCGCGCACGGCCGGTGGAGCAGAACGCCCGGACAGGCGGACATCGAGCTAGCTGATTGGAGAGTGGATGATTGTGGCTGGCTCGGGCAAGAGCAGCCGGAGCAGCCGGGGGAGAGGCTCACCTCGGTTTGCACGTCACATTGCCCGCGTCGCCGCAGCTGCAGGAGGACTCGCAGGCGTCGTAGAAAGTCTGCCCGCGGCTGTACGTCTTGTTTTTGAAGGTGCAGCTCTCCAGCGGCTCCGGCTCTGTGGGCAGCGAAGAGAAGGCCGGCCGCTCACTGACACTGCAAGTGCAAACTCGCCTCGTCCCGAGACCTAGTTCTTAAACCAATTTTTAATAAAGCCGTTAATTGAGGCCTCGGCGGGGCCTTGCGCCCTGCGCGCCCTGCGCCTTGTCATCTCGTGACTGAAAAGTAAAGCTTTCTCACGCGTTGGCGAATGATGAGTCCTAATTACGGTGCGAGCTGCGCTGGCTGCGCTGGCTGCGCGTCGCGGCGCGCGGCGCTTCGGGGGCAGGCGGGCCTTGCCTCGCGGCGTCTAGGCGCCTAGGCCGTGGCGTCGCCTGGTCTCCTCTCGCCGCCCGCCCCGCGTCGTCGGCGTGCCCATTCCCCAAAGTAAGTCATCGGCCCGGTCCCTCACCCAGTCCCACCCACCAGGCCGCTCAGCAGCCCGCTCCCCAGGATCACCGCAACCCCACTATCGAAACACGGACACGAAACAGAGTGCGCAGGGAGAAAACTGCAATTCTCCTCGCTGGTACCATCCTCCTTCCACGCCTTCCTGTCCGGCGGCCCGCGGTGCTCGCGGTGCTCGCGGTGCTCGCGGCCGGCGCGGCGTTTCGACGCGCCGCGTGGGCATGTAGGGCCGCGGCGCCGCGGCATCGCACTAATGCAACCGGCAGGCGGCCCGGCGGCCGGCCTCGACGCGCAGCTCGACGGGGAGCTCGTGATGCTCACCTGAGTCCTGAGCGCACACCAGCAGCACGCAGCAGGGGTCCTTGTCGGAGTCCTTCTCGACGCACATGGGGTCCAGGCGGGCGCCCCGGCGCAGGAAGGGCGCCTTGCACCTGGCCGTGCAGGTGATGACGCCGCCGGCGCAGGTGCACACCTCGTCGCACGCCTTGGAGAAGCGCTGGCCCTCCACGTACACCTTGCCGTCCGTGTCCGTGCACGTGGGCAGCGTGGTGGACGGCGCCACCTCCGAGAGCGCGGCCGTGGACGACGCCGTGCTGGACGCCGGCGCGGCCGTCGAGGACGGCGAGGACGTCGTGGTCGTGGAGCCGTTACCGTGCAGCCCCATGCCCGAAGACGGGTCCAGGTTGTCGTCGTCGTCCATGGACACGTCGTCCAGGCGACGCTCCCCGGAGCCAGCTCCGGACGCGGACGGCGTCTTGCTGGTTTTGGCCCGGAGCGTGGTCGCCTCCGGGTGGCCGTTGCCGTCCACGTCGGCCAGCGACGAGTTGCCGGCGTCCTCGCCCATGGTGGTGAAGTTTATGGCTCGGCCGCGGCCGGTCTCGGTGCCCGACGCCGCCGAGGTGCTGCTCGGAGGCCCCGGCGTCGTCGTCGTCGTCACATCTGCGAAGCAGAAAACCAAAAATGATGCACTGCCCGAAACTAGCAATTCTTTACTCGCTGTCAAAGCTACCCTAAGCGGATCCACTTGAAAATGGCAAACACCTTCTACGAGAGAGATCAGACTATTGCTCGAATTTTTTTCTCCCCCAGTCGCGAAGCCCCCGGGGCGCTTCCCAAATCGTGCTTTCGTCCGTTCCTCAAAGATGTTTGTCGTGCCCCGCTTCGCAGGGGGGCTGCCTTCCCTCCGGCCTCGAGGCGGGGCGGGCGGGGCGGCGGGGCCTCAGGCGGCGAGAATCTCCGGAAAGTGTATCGCCGCCCCGTCCCCGGCCGGGCTGCCTTTCCGCACGAGCGCGTCGAACCGCCAACGACCCGGCCGTCAAGCAACCCGAGAGGCCGCCGAGAGGCGTGGGCGGTGAGGAGGGTCAATTCCGTTCCGAGGCGGCCGGCGGCCGGGACACGCGGGCGTGTTGGTTGCGACACGACGACGCGCCGAGACCATCGCCAGAGATTGGCCGGCACGGCCTGCACGGCCGGCACGCGCGTGGCGTGGCCCACTAGGCCGCTAGGCTAATGTTGCACGTTCGCGACGTTCGCTCGCGCAACAACTCCGCTTCCGCCTGGGCTTTGACGCCACAGTGCGGCGCACCGCGGCGCACCGCGGCCAGGGCGGCGCCCCTTCACGTCGCAAACACCGGCCGGCCTGTTTGAGAACCACCGCGTCACTTCCGGCCGATCGCGGAGCGGCGGAACGCTCATGCGTGTGCAGTGTGGTTACATATGGCGCGTACAACAATGGATCGCTCTAACCACCGCATTGCCTTCGCCGCCCGCTTGACGCTCGCCCCGCCGCCCCCGCCGGCCGCACGTGCGTTCGGGCGGCAGATGCATCCGGATGACGCGACTCGCGACTCGTCCGCGCGGTAACGCGCAGCACAGGGCGGCGCGATGACGGGAGAGAGACCGGCAGAAGGCCGTCGTCGCGTCTTGTCGCGGCGACTAAGCCCCGCCGACTTACGGCGTCCACGGCGCGGTCGCGCGGAGCTCGAGTGGAACTCGCTGCGGACAAGGCGGACTTGGACTTTTGCTGTCTGCCAGTCAGCCCGATGAAAGTGCGTCGGCGCCGCGGGCTGGGCGGACCGGTAGGCGAGTCGGCAGGCCGCGCCTTGTCCCTGATAATGCGGCCAATACCGCCGCAGTAACTTATTTCTCGCCACGGTACAACGAACGCCTCGCCGCGCCACGCCGTCAGGAAGTCGGGCGGGCAGCGCGGGGCAGCGCGGGGCAGTGCAAGCCCCCCGGCTCCTAGCCATCTCGCCAGGCCTCCGCGAGGAAACGGCACGACCGGGCAGCTTGGCCAACCGGGGCAGTGCTCACCTCACCCACACACAGAGCGCACGGGGCGTGACGTCACAACGAGGGGCGGTTAGGCAAATAGAGATTGGCCGCGGCGTCTCGCGTCTCACGCTTCTCATAGAGGTCGTGACGCCCAGCCGGCGCTGTGGTCCGCGTGGCGCGGCGTGGCGCCTCTGGGGCGCGCGTCGACGGCCTGCCTGCCTGCCGCGCGGCGTGGGTGGGACCGCAGCACCGCGCAGCACGCACGCCGGCAGCGACACCACTTTCACTGTCACATCGGCCTGCGCCCCAGCGCAGCGGCTGGCAGCAGCGATCACGGCCGTGAAACGAAAAGCGAAATAACGCGTCGAAAAAAAGAAAATCACTGTAACACAGCCTGTTCTACTTGTTTATATCAAAGCACCGAAGCTGGTTGCTACGACCGGGCATTTGTATACATCGACAGCTAAGTTGTCCTCGTTGTACTTCGGTCGTGGCGTCGTGGCTGGTACCAGCTGCCGGTTGGTTGAGGGTTTCAGATTTTCGAATGCAGCTGGCTTCAAGCTGACTGCCTGGCTCGGCACGGCCTGCACGGTGTCGCAGTGTCGCCGTGCATGACTCCTGCTGCCTGGCGGCGGCCCTGGTGGAGGCCCTGGCGGCGGCAGCGGCCCGCGCCTGACCCACATCACGCGGATGAGAATACATCTGCATCTTGTTGGAACGGCTTAGCGACAGGGCGGGGGAGGACCGCGGCTCTGTGACGTAGGGCGAGCGGGCCGCGCGGGCCGAGCAGGCCGCCAAAGTGTGCCGACGGTCACGAGCCGTGCGCAAGCCGACGAGGAGAGGAGGACTGCTCGCTTTCGTAAATCCCCGGCATTCTTTCCTTTGGAAAGCACATGGCGTGGCGGCGCGGCGTTTGACACTTGCAGTGTGGCATTACTTTGCCGCCCGTGTCGAGACAGTCTCGAGCCGGCACCGCGCCGGTGTCGGAGCCGGCCGGCCGCCCAAGGTGCCCAAGGTGCCCAAGGCCAGGCCAGTATGGCGGCCTGCCGTTCTGCCAACACACAAACATGGGAACAAAGGTCGCAGGGCTGCCAGGGCGGCCTCCCTGTGCACGCCACGCACGCCGTGCACGCCGTGCGGCACATTCGGTGCGTTGGCACGGGTCCACGATGATCGCGCTCCAGCTTGTGTCTCATGTGTCTTATCCTTACGGCCGAGAAGGCCCCCGTCTGTCAATACGGGAGGGAACCGGAGGGAACCGCGCTGCGCGCAGTCCAGCGATTCCGCTGCCCACACTGTCTCTCTCGCTCTCGTGGAGCGTGCCAGCGTGCCGAGGGGGAGTGAGAGAGACAGCGCGAGCAGTGCGGGCAGTGGAATCGCTCGGTTCTGCCCCTCATTCTCATGGCGCCGACCCGACGCAGGCACCCCACCTGTCGGCCTGTCGGAGCAGTCTGGGGCAGAGGCACAGAGCCGGCCCCAGCCAGGCAGAGCGCGCGATGCCATGAGAGCGGCTGCGGTCTGAATTCTAAAATAATGTAAACAAGACCACAGCTCCCACACAGGGCAAAAAAATGATCATGATTAAAATAAGAAAGGAATAAAAAAGAACGCAGCATTCTTCATCGTTAGCAGCCGCTTCCCTCCTTCGTTGTGCGACTTTTACTTTCGAGACGAGTTCCTCAGCGAGGTAGCAAAGGGGGGCAGGGGCGAGGGAAGGGGGAGGGGGCTCATATCACGTCGTGTCCCCGGGTCCCCGGGCGCGGCGAAGTGCGGCGGAGTGCGGCGCGGACCCTGCTCGCCTTGGAGGCGGCACCCCCATCACACTGCACTGCGTGTGCACTGCGGGCCGAGTGTCCTGCCACGCGACGCGACTGCAGACCGATTCCGAGAGTCGCCTTCGTCGCTCTGCCTCTCTCTCACCCGTACGGGACGCCTCATGAGTGTGGAGAGAGACGTGACGAAAACGACTCTCGGAATCAATCTGCTGGGGCGACTGAGGCCCGACAGCCGAGAGCACTCGTCGGAGGTCCTGCAAACGCCGGCCAGGCTCCAGGCTCCAGGCACTCAAGGCGGTCTGCGCTGTGCGTCTCCGGTCGGCTTGTCCAGTTATCTTGAGGCGAGGTGTTATGATAAAAAAAAAGGTGTCGCGGCGAAGCGCGGCCGGAGTGGGCGTCCGCAAGGCGACCGCCAAGGTGCACTGGCAGGGGACACACACCCATACTCACGCGCGGCCGCGCGGGGTAGTCGGCCTTCACATTACCCAGCCGCGCGCGACACTCGCCCACAACAACGACGACAGCGACAAAAAACAACATCAACATCACCGAAAGGCGTTCGCCGGGGCGCCGCAGGCAAGCCCGGCGCGCAGCTCTGCAGTTCGCGTGGCCCGGCTGCCTACTGCCCGGGCTGGCCGTGCTGGCGCGTGTCCGCGGTTCGCGGTTCGCTCTCCGCCAGCGGAACGAACAACGAGTAAACGAGGCCGGCCCGCCGCGGCCCACCGACCGAAAAGGAGCACCGAGCACCGCGCGCCAGAGGAAGGAGGACACTGAGCTCTGTTGACGCCATCAACCCCAGTTCCTTCCACGCAGTCCGGAGCCGCGGCGCGTCACAGTCGATCGAGGCGTCCAGGGCGTCCAGGCGACCACTGGGTACTGCACTGCGTCGTTAGGCGGCGGGGAGCTTTATGCACGTGCAGTATGCACACAAACACACACACACACACACACACACACACACACACACACACACACCTACACACACACACACAGGCGTGCCTGCACGGCACCACGCTCGGGTCACTGCGGGGAATCCGTTAATTGGGCCCCTTTCTTTCGCCCCCCGCCCCCTGCGCCCCCTTGCCTGCAGCCTGCCTGCTCCTCCCTCCGCGCACACTGCGCCTCGCGGCGCCCCGCGGCGACGCCGAGCCCCCCGTGATGAAACTGGCGCAGCAGCGAGCAGCGCGCCGTCATGGCGGGCGCGCCGGGCGCCACGATCCCGGCCGGGAGGGCGCCGCTGGGGTGACCCTCCGCGTCGACCCCGGCCCTGCGGCCCTGCCTGGCCCTTCGGTGCCCCGGTGACGTCTGCAGGGCGCCGTCGTGGCGTAACGCCCGCGCTCTGCCGCTCACCACCGGAAGTCATTGACGCCGCGCCGCTCGCCGCGATGCAGCTCGCTGTTTTCCTGCCGCTGCCGCGCAAGCTCCGCCGCTCCGATTTACATTCGTGTGCATCGGGCTGAGCGCCCCGCCCCGCCAGCGTGGCTTTCAGAGCGGCTTTCCGCGGGGCTTTCAGCTGTCGCGGCCCCGCGGCGTGGCGGGCGAAAGCGGGGGCGGGGGCCTGGCGGGGGCCTGGCGGGGGCCTGGCGGGATCGACGACGACTACGTTGTGCGCGGCGCGACACACAAGGCGGGGGCCAAGTCCTCGGTGCGGCTAGGACGACCTTCACTTTCACCCAGTTCCGTGTCGCCGCAGCCGCCGAGGACCAGCCGTGTGTGTGTGTGTGTACACGCCCCATCCGGTGCGGGCGTGGCACCGTCTGCCCGGCAGCACAACGGCAGCAGCACAGTGTCTGGATTCCATTCCAATACGAATCGGCTCGGCGCTCGCAGCACCGCGCAGCACAACCATTTGGCGGAAACTCTTTTCCCGGAATCGCGTGGGGCAGGAGT